CATCATCATCAATCATACAGATGTACGGGATGCATACAATACCAAGAAACCAAGCTCGAAATGTGTTGATTGGAATCGCTGTATCATCCGTCTCGGGTACAACGGCTCTCACTTGCGGGAAAGGAGAAGTGTCGGCTTCGTAGTCCCCCTCGCCCTCTTCTTCAAGAACCCTTCCCATATCCACTTCCAACTCCGCGAGGTGTCCATTTTCGAGTTCGACATCTTGGCCGTGGATATTGTGAGCCGTCTTGATATTGAGTTTGTCCTGAGTAGGAGACTTCTCAGAGTCGACATACTCGGGCGGCGTGTGGCTAATATCGGCTGCCATACTGGTAGAGATTGACAATGGCGTAGAAACAAGCACCGGCTAGAGTAGCCAAGGCGGTAGCGTCCGGCGCGGCATCGACGCTGTTATGAAGGGTTGCGCCAATTTGGCCCGGCGCGGTGCACGCGTACCATGCATGGTCTTGTTCCTTATCAATAGCTTCTGGCACCATGTAGGCTTTTGATAAGGACCCGATCGCACTTTTGCAAAAGGTCCTTGAAGATAAAGATCATATCATCCATCGCGAACCACAATCATCCTGTCCATACACCAACCGCGGATAGTCATCCACGGCATTGGCCAATTGAGTATCTTGGCGTTATCTTGGTTTTATCTGCCGTTGCGGGGATTGGGCGTCTGGTTTTGGCAGGCAATCAGGGATCAGTCTTTAGCGATCAGATTCGGTAAGGCGGATGGTGGAGGATTCGGAAAACTACGATAAGTTTGCCGTACTTCCGAGGTCGCAGCTCCCGTACGATAAGATACTGGCTGGCACTCCAAATCTTTGTTGCCACAGGGAGTCAAATTGATTTTACATGCGCTGGTTGTGGTATTTGACGCCCGGTTTCACTTAATGTGCGCTTACTCTAGTTCGTTATAAACCCAGTGGTAGCAGAGAGTATAACTACAATCAAAGGGCATTGAATTGAACGGGGTGGCAAGCGGAAGCTTCTCCTTGGACGTTGAGACTTGCTGATAAGGGAACGTAAACAAACTAGACTTATGCTGAAAGGAACCTGGAGGACCGTTCTGAAGTCGTTCTAATTCAACAACAAAGGTTTGCTGCGTATGCTACACGTATTAGCTAATCGGCTTAGTTTCAACATACAATTATTTTGACAAGGAATTATGGTTATCGTGCCAGCCCAAATGCCCAAACAGAGTCTCTCAGCAACTTCAACCTCATCAGGGATGTGTAGTCAGTAGAGGGGAAGGGCATTTCCCCCGCTTCCAGTGCAACCACCATCATTTCAGAAGCCAGACAGGGGTTACTGTACTCGACGCCATACCAACGAATATCAAATGAAGCTGAACTACAGCCCATTTCTGCCAAATCTCTGAATAAGAAGAAATCTATCTTCGGTCGAAACTTCATTTCACGGACGGCTGACAAACTTCGGAGATACACACTTTCGCTTCTGGTGCTGTCATTGTATGTGGGCGCAAGACGTAATTATCAAGCAGGGCAAAAAGACAAGCCCACGAAACACGGCCGTCAAGGCACGCATATATCACTCGCCGTACACAATCACATCGGCTACAACACAGACGCCATTGTCGACCCTCTCGTTGTTGTGGCGCAATGTCGTTTGACAACGGCACTAACTGAAATTGACTAATGACGTTCCGTTGTCATGTTATTGTTTATCTAGTTGCCAGCTAGCTGATGGACGCGCTGACGCCGAAAGATATTGTGGCATAATAGACCCAACAAGCTGCAGGACCCATACCGCCCCCACACCGGCTCCTAACCGAACCAAGATGAATCTAGGGGTATAAACAGCAAACATCCCGCTTTGAGCAAATGATAACTCGGCCCAGGTTTGTTGCTTCCTTGTTTTTCCAAATCTTTGCTCTGAGGTCGCACGTAATGGTATCTAATGACATGCCTATATCTATTCTCCCTCGGACGTGTCCCACGATACAGTCCTTCCAGTGACAAAGACTTTGAGCAGCGACATGTTCCTATAGGTCCGAAGTCATCACAGTACCCCATATCCTGGCGGACGTTTAGTACTCTCGCCGATATAACCGATCTGGATGAATCAGAGAATCCCGACGACCCAAAGAGGCCTATCTTCGCCGGCAACCCTACGCCACGGTAATCTCTGCTCACGGAATGGCTTCAGACGAGGCCTGCTACCCGCTAGTCTTCTCGTTTAAAACTCCGCATTGAGAACATCTTCGAGTGGGAGAGTTGGGTTTACGACGAGCATGAATAGAATTTTGATGACGATAACAACTTGATTGAGGGTGTCTGCATGTGCGGCTGTAATTAACAAGATGTATAACGAGCCCTCCGGGTGTTTAAGGCTGTCGCTCTATGATTAAAGGAAATATCAAGACTAGCCAAAACAAACCCTGGCTCACTATTCCCACGGCACTAACAGTCGTGCCAGCTAACAAGCAGCACCGCAAGCGATAACAAATCGGTTTGGCAACGCACATTTGACCAACACATATGCGTCTTCGACATCCTATATCCTATCTTTAGTCTCCTAAAAGAGCTAATCCGTGTGCATCAGTCTGCGTTTGGTTGACCAATAGGCAACCGCTCCCAACAGCGTATTTCAAGAAAAAACAATGTAGGCAGGGCGTACTTAACGGCTGGCAGAAAAGGAAGACGCAGCTGAAGCCATCATCTGGGCTTGCGAAAAGTGAGTTCTCGAATTAGGATTCGTAAGCTTTCATAAGAATTATATCAAATGATGAATGGGTCTGCTCAAACGTCGTCTAGTTGAGTGTTAACTTGATTCTAAGAGGAGAGTTTGTGTGCTACTAAACGTCTATGCTCACTCCCATGGGTGAATGTTGGCCTTCAAACCCTTTCCATCTCGATATTGGTCCAACGATTTGTTGACGGCATCCGCATCTAGTCCCTTGATAACCTCAAAACTCATGGGGCTAAGATGTCCCTCCTTAAGCCATCGAGGTACCTCTTTCCAGAACCCCACAGTTGCCTCTGGATGTCTCGGAGAGACTCCAAGTATTTGGCGACGTTCATACCCCGCAGACTTGGTTCCTATTTGAGCCGCGTCGAAGTCTCCCCCCGTTCGACGAAGAGTGATCAAGCTGCCTTTTTTTGTGTTTGACAGCGCCGCGATACCAAGTGCTTGTTCCACGTCGGCATTGACCGTGTCGACCGCATAGACTAGCTCATCTCCCGCAATAGCACGGATTTGATCTAGCACATCGGGTGCTTGGCGATCGATCACATGAGTAGCCCCAGCAGATCTAAGCTTTGCTTCATTATGACGCCCGGCGACTGCGATGATTCTCCCTATTCCTGCCAACTTCGCGAGCTCAATGGTGGCTCGCCCGGTGTTGGAGCCGCCTCCAACAACAAGGAGCGTGATGCTGCCATAATCGAAAGAATTTGCCTCCGGAGAAAACGGAGTGGGGAAGCCATGGCCTGAACGTGCAAAAAGGGCAATGAATGCGGCCAACACAACCACGGGAATTGTAGACGCCTGGTCGATACTCATGCCGCTTCCAGCCACCCTACCCACAAACCTCGCATCGACTAAAGCATATTGTTGCGCTCCGTTGAAATCATTATCGAAACCTCCTGGGGCGAAGGTATGGCCAAAAACATGCTCACCACCAGTGAACTGGGCAGAATGCTCTCCGTTTCCTAAAGCCACTACTTCTCCGACCAGATCACTGGCAAGGACGGATGGCATACTGGTGACAAAGAGACCTTTATCACGGGTCATTTGGTCATGAGGATTTACTAAACATGAATCAGCCATGATTCTCTTATTTTTAGTCGTTGGATTGGTCAACGTACGCCCGGCAACCAACACCTTGACCAGTAATTGATTTTCGCTAGGCTGTGGGATTGGACGAGCTCCCAAAACCAGTGGCTTGCCTATCTCCTCAAGTAAAAGAGCTTTTTGAGACATGACTATTTTCGAGTCTGAAGTGGTGCGGAGAGATTGATTATCACTAATAGAGCGGAATTGATATAGAGAAGTACAAGATTGTTATCCACGCGAGTCTAAATTATATCAAAAACGAGAAGATCAAGGCATTTAAACAATCTGCATTTAGTTGACACATTGCGTTTTGTGAAAGCCTATGAGTATGTCGACATGGCTGACCAATTCATGGAACTTAGCAGGGGCTCATTCCCCGACGTTGGTCGGATTACTGATCTCTGATTGAGTAATACCCGCATGGATTTTGTGAGAAGCCCGGCCAGGCCGAGCAGCTCGACCGTTATTACTCAACCTTTTTTATTGATGGATCAGCTCTACATATTCCTGACTTCAGCAAAGGAATGAATTTTTGATTTGTCTAGAAAAGCTTTCCTCTTTAAACCAGATGTGCTGGACTTTTTACGGATCTACCTTCATCTTTCGCTTTCGTCATCCGCGGCTATTGGGAGTAGTGAATGGGCCGGCCTATTTGTAATCGACGGAGGGTTGACACAAAGAAATAGTCCTTGCATAGCGAATCAAGGTGCCCCATTCACATCAAGTCAGGCCCAACACGCGATTTATGAAGCATTACATCTATTTGAGCCAAATATCTCCTCATTTGGTTGTGCACCGTGCTATAGAAAGAAAAGGTCCTAGATCAAGTATTATAAGTATCCATCCTATTGGATTCCTGAACTTCCATTTTTGAAAGATAGCAGTCAAAGTTTGTCGAAATGAGCTACCTAGCCAGCTAGTCCAATTCCCAATCTGCTAGCCAGACACCATTTTTGTGTCCCAGATCAGCTAACGTTGGGTGGTACATGGATATGCGATAATATACCACATGTATTTGCTACTCGTTTGTCTGAAAGTATGGTGGATTTAGGGTCTCTAAAATAAGTTTGATCCGGCGTATTGATATGGTTGGAAGCACGAAACAAATTGCAGGTCTTTCCTGAGCACAATAGAACTATTATTTATGCATTTTGGTGCTAAAAACAGCCCTTTGAACTCTTGTTGATCGTACAGAACCTTGATCAGAATAAAGAGCCCTTTTGCACGCATAGCTCATCATTGTTCATAGACTATGGGCATAAAGTACCGCTAAAACATATGCCGTAGTATCTTCAAATTCGTCTAGACCGTTTACTACTCGGAAGACTTAGTTGAAAGTCTGCTTCATGTGCAGGATTGCTCTTCCAAGGTGTTCTATCGATGGAAAACCTGGTGAGCCAGTCCAAAAATGGACTCTTCTGTAATACTCTTCGAGAGTGGAATGCTGCTTCTCTTGTTAACTAGGCTGGTAGGCTGAGCGTTTGATCAAGCTAACTAAATTTCGTGGAAGCCCTTCCCCCCCTTGCGAATTCAGCCCTAAGTTAAAAGCACAATTTCTGTCTGCTAACCTATCCAGAATACCTCTTGGCATTATATCCCTCATCTCACGCCTTGGGAAAAGTGCAAAATGCGTAGCCGTTAGCATCACCACACGTTGCACAGCCAGTCTTGGCACCATCACACCCTCCAACTTAGCCTACAAGGTCGCGATGCAGAGGGTTCCTTGTTGATGGCGGCTCAAGCTCATATCGCGCAGTGCGTCTGCTTATAAATTGCTGTGCGAATCTTCTCTTCGCAGGGCTTTCTATGCTCAGCTTGTCACGCAGCACATTGATTCGTCGGTCCATTGTGCATAGAACCTCCGCCCGATTTATCGTAAACATTGAAATACATCATCCACTTGAGCAGAGAAAGTTCACTTTGATTCGCGCTCATCAACTCGAGTAGACGACCATTAAGTCAAAAGGGTGCATACTTCCGACTTGAACGACATACCCACAAGTCACCAACGCACTCTAAGGACAATTAACAAAAACACCTCGGGAAAGAAGACTGATATTCTTTCATGTCAGCGCCGGTCCCCATGAATTGTGTGGTATTTCCACTATAACTTTGTGTAAACTCATCGTTGATACCGATTTTGTACCGGTGAGCTTGACAAGAATCCCACACGTAGCAAAAAGACTTACCCTCCCGGGACTCCCGCCACTGTTCGAATGCAGTGTCTTGGGCACCTTCTCAATCAGGGCCAGTTCAAGGGAGCACCGTCATCAGTCCCGCGAAGCAGCCGGTATGGGGCCGACGTGATCCAGTGCAAAACACCCAGTTCATTGTGCCGCATCACGTCCGAATGTCTATGCCCACTTTCAACTTAAGGTATGAGTACTTCACGTCTTGCTGATACAATTCATTAATTGCTAGAATACTAATGAGGGTATGAGTAGTAGTCTATAAGACAAAAGAAAGAGTACAATATTTTATGGGTGTAAATCCGAAGAGGTCAATCCCGGACGCCCAGACCAAAGGCCTTGGTCGAATCGCGGAGTGTGCCAAAATCCATTGAGCGAGAACCACCATCTTAATTGCCCATACCCCAGCGGGGAGCGTTGACAATGATGCCAGCTAGGCAACCAGAGATGATACCAGCAGTGGGAAGGGTGATGATCCAGCCCATGTAGATCCAGCCGACCATGCGCCAGTTGATGGAGCGCCAGGTACCGGAGCAAAGACCGACACCGACAGTGGCACCGGTGATGCACTGGGTGGTAGAGACGGGAAGCTCTGTTTGGAGGTTAGTGGTGCTTCAAAAGCAGTCGCAGCGGAACACTTACTGAGACGGGTGGCCAGGATGATCGTGCAAGCAGCACCCAACTCCATGGAGAATCCACGAGCGGGAGAGTGAAGCGTCAAACGGTTACCAAGGTTGCGCATAATGTTGTAGCCGTAAGTCCAGATACCAAGAGCAATACCGGCACCACCGAAGCAGAGAATCCAGATGGGGACTTCGGACTTGCTACCAGAAAGAACACCGGTGTTCCAGATCTGGAAGATGGTGGCGTAGGGACCGATGGCGTTGGCAACATCGTTGGCGCCGTGGGTGAAGGAAGCAGTGCAGGCCGTCATGACTTGCATGAAGGAGTAGAGGAACTCGGCCTTGTTGTCGTAGTGCTGAACGCGGGCGTGCATCTCCTCCAAGTCTCCGGTGAGTACGCTCTCCTTCTTCTGCATGTTAATGATGTCCTGGTCAACACCGGAGAGGAAAACCTTCTTGACCATCCAGAAGAGGACGGCACCGTTGTGCCAGGGACCCTCGGGGCGGGGGCCGACGATGGGCTTGTGAACGTAGTCGTTGTTGCGGGGAGCCGCGGTCGTAGAGTCAGAGGAATCCTGGACAACCTTCTTCTCGCCATCGGCAGAGCCCGACTCAATATCATTGCTGTGTGTCTGAGCAACGACACCGCCACGGGCAGCGTCAAGCTCCTCCTTGGTCATGTGGCCGGCGTAAAAGTCGCGAATGCCACCGTTCATACCCTCAGGCTGCATGGGAGGCTCGGGGCGGCGGAGCAGGAGGGGACCGAGGAAAACGTGGTACCAGCGCAGTTGCCAGTCATCCTTGACGACCATGCGGTACAACCAAGGGACGAAGAAGATGGTGATAAGCAGAGCCCATGCAGCACCGACACCAATGATCATACCGGCGGTCTCGGCATCGTTGAAGGAAACCTTGATGGAACCACCCTTCCAGACGATCAACATGGTCAGGAGAGAGGCTGTGATTCCGAAGTAAACAGGTACGAGAGCAAGACCCTTCATAACGGGGTTCTTGCGCAACATGACACCGTACTTTGTGATCGAGAAGATGATGGCAGCAAAGGCTCCAGAGATGCCAGGGGCGATGATCCAGGCGAGGAAGACGGAGACGACACCAGAGTCAATGCTGCCGCTCGAGGAAACCCAGTGAATGTTCTCAGCACCAATAAGCGCGACACCCATACCGATGACACCGCCCATGATGGAGTGGGTGGTGGAAACTGGAAGACCGATTTTCGTGCAGATGGTGAGGTAAATGGCAGAGGCAGTGACAGCGCAGCACATGCCAAGCATGAGAAGAGCCGGGTCATTCTCGAAGAGGTCGATATCCACAATCTGGGGCGATATAAGTCAGTAAACTGCCATTGCGATACGTTGGGCAATCATGACTGACCTTGGTACGAATGGTGTCTGCAACACGAGCACCAACACCAACGGAACCGGCGAACTCGAGAATGGAACCTAGGGACATGGCTTGGATGTAGGAGATGGATCGGGACGAGACCGAAGTGGCCCAGGAGTTGGCGACATCGTTGGCACCTATGGACAAGAAGATTAGTTTTCATGGTTTGACGATGCAGAGGCCACGGTTTATGGGCGCATACCGATGTTCCACGCGTCAAGGAACGCGAAAATGGTACCAATGGCAAAGATGTAATCATACTGATGCAGAGCCATCTTGTCGGTCTTTGGCGCAAGGGCGCGGAAACTGATCTTCTCTAGGGAGGTCGACAATGATTCAATGAAAGTGTCGGACTGAGTAGCACAAGTGCTTCAAGTCTGTGTAAACCAAGGGAGTGGTGAGGTGAGATCAAAAACCCTGTTGTTGGCGCGGAAGGCAAGGCCGGGTAGGGAATGGTGTTCGAGAAGTCGACATAGAAGCAGGACAGAGTAGACCGGGCAGACGCGAAGGATATATACCATACGAAGGGACGATCAAGACCGAACGATGGCCCACTCCAAGACGCCCTCCAAGATGCACATGTTCCGCCCTCCTTGTCACAGATGTGGCCGGGATGTAGGGTGTGATTCTCGGGCGGCGTGGGCGACGTGGGCAGGCCAGCAGCGGCAACAGGCCAACATCAGCAAAGGAAAGACGAGACACTGACAAGGGCAGGCTCACTGGATTCTGCAAAGCGCAAATACGCCTGACAAGGACTCGCCACATGCACCATATGCAAGTGCGGCGGACCCGTCAATGTACCTCGATCAAATTTTACACGGGTGCCTCCCTAGGGTACCTTGGCTCTGGCGCAGCCGTTTGGGGCACATTTTCCCCTTTTGGGAATTGAACGACAAGAATCTTGGACGACATTGAAGGTTGTTCGGCACCGTCCAACTCTGTCATTCGACCAGATACAATGACCGAGAAAGCTGGAGAATAGCCGCAACCGTCTGGTATTTTGGATGATTATGGCCTTGGTTGGCTCTGGATATCATCTTCGCTCCGACACTGAGCTCTCTAGCCTGGGCTAAAGATTGAGGGTTCAACCTTCACATCTCGACCGGGCAGCATATTGCGGTACGGCGCATGAGAGTGGGGGCGTTCTCGGTGGAAGAAAACGGATACGCAGGTCGAATAGCTGACAACCGGGCTGTCTTGGACTTGCATGGGACGGGAAGAAATGGGTATCGAAGGTCGAGACGCAAAGAGCGTGGACTGCAGCAAGACACAGTCTGGCATTCCCCACGTGCCATTGATAGACTGGCATGCTTGGTGAGGGTTACATTGCCTGAGCCGGGCAGCTCAGCTCGTCTCTGGGGATATTGGTACAGCCATGCTGGAAATGGGGTGGAGTGGGATGTTGAGCTCGTGCTCCACGAGATTTGTCTACGGCCAATTGATAGTAAAAGAGCCGAATGTTGGACTTAGACTTTTGCACGCCGAGCCTCCAGGGGTAGGCATTCGGAAGCGTCCAACTACGACCGAGGGAGAAGCTGATCAGAGATGGAACAGAACCAGAGGTCGTTACAAGAAACACTAACAGGCACACCATACTGGAAGTTGACGAAGGAAGTGGAAGACGGGGAAGATAGACGGCAACGCACCTTTCCCGAAACAGCCACCGAGACCCACTAGGTAGTGGATCGACCCAAGCGACTTGGCGCTTGAGCGCGCCAAGACACGCTCTCAGGAAGCGCCAAGCGCTCGTTCTACTCAAAGGAAGGCATTCAGGGAAGCTGCGGCCCCACTCCCGTCCTCCGCGGCTACCAAATCACGGCCTCCGATTCCACCACGTGCTGGTTCCCGCCTCCTCCTGTGGATTACCCCGGCCTCATCCCCGGACACACTCTCCCTCGACATCGCAACTGAGTCGTCAACACACTCGTCCCAAACCTCCCCAAATGGCTCAAATTCCTATAAATCATGCTGCCTCCGCCAAGCAGCCAAGCAGCCAAGAGCTCCAATGCCTCCAACATCGCTCAGCCTACTCGACCAAACATCGAATGTCAGCACCAGATTCCGGCCACATCCCGTCCCTCCTCGTCCCGACTCCTTCGTCTGCCTGCTGAGCTTCGCCCTATTAGTCCCTCGCCCGAACCTCACCCGGGACCTCGCCCCAGCACTTCCCCGATGCAGCTAGATCCCCGGTTTCCTCTCACCTGCGCTCCTCCGCCACTCATGTCCGCCCATTTCCTCCCTGGCGCCGAATTCAGTCAATCAACCGACTTTTTTTTCGCATGAGCGACAAAGACTGACGACTTTTACGAACCATGCCGCCCCCGTGCTGTGCGTAGGTACTCAACAGACATTTGGGATGATTGGGCTCCTCCTTGGTATTACCGGATCGTCGTTGTGGGCCATGTTCCGTCACCCCGGTGTTGGCTGCCACATTTACCAAGAAACCCAAGCAATTACCAAGCCGATTCGATCCTTTGCCGTCGACGAATGATTTTCCCCCTCTGAAGCCCGTGTTCTTCTTTTGCAGCCCAAGGCCGCCAGTGGAACTTGTCAGGCGGTGCGCCCTCGCGCCGGTGGATCTTGGCCCTGCTAACGCCAACGCCGCCCGAATGCTCTACATTCGCTCTCAGCTAACAGTTGACAGCGCTTGGGGTGACGAATTGCCGACGACGAGATCTGGTCCGATGCTGGTGAGGCAAACGAGTTGTTTTCAGGGTCTATGTGGCTATCTGAAGACTTTTCGACATCATGTTTGCCTCAGTCAAGCAGGTATGTCGGTCCATCGGCTCCTTTGCCTCAGACGAGCCGCACACATGACGGAATCTCGCCTACCATCGCTGTCACCTCCCTCCATTGGTTTCTCCCTGTGGCACAATATTGCCTATTGCCAAGTGGCTAGCCACTTACTGTGATATATGGGAAGCAAGACTAGACGAATGAACATTACCGCTCGGTAGCAGCCGCCACGTTCGTACCACCCTCTTGACGATTATGGACACCCGGGGCATTCGTCTTTGTCACATTAACACACGCACCCTTGTTTCAATGCCGGTGACAGCTGCCACATCATAGGCATAATTGGCAGTCCATCATCCCGTCATTTTGCGCTTCGGTGTCCATCTCGGCTAGGCCGTCTTGTCGTGCGGCCTCAGCTTTCCTCTTCGGTGAAACCACTCATCAAGGCTTAAGAATGGCAAAAGGGTCCAAAGTCTCTTAACGTCTTATCGGCCGCACGTGGCTTCCGATATCTACTTTGAGATGCCAAGCTCTTGCCCTATATGTCATGTCTCTGGATATTTTCTGTCCTGAAATGTCCAAACCAACGAAGTATTGTTGCTAAGAGTGTGAAAGTAACAATATGTTACCAATAGCAGGATCATTCTCTGTCGTAATAGTCGCTCCTCCCAGACCCCGCTATGTTTCCGTCGGCGACACATTTTCCTCGGTGCTACTCATAATCTGGGGCATTCCCTCCCCTTATTGTAGTTCGCGTCCCAGATTATATGGGGAACTGGCGATGAATCAAAACACCTTTCGACCACGGAAGATGACTCAATGCTACATAACCTTGATCCTGCTATCTCGTCCGCAGACTGACCAGTTCCTTGGTTCAAATCAAGGGGTCGATTGATGACAAGGGTTAAGTTGAAAACTTGCACCGAAGTCACGGCCCACCCCACGCTAGAGAGCAGCAGCCTGGCGTGGTGCCCCGGCTACTTTCTTTTCTCGAGGTTGTCTAAGCGCCTTGCAGGTTGCCAGTAATATTGGGCCTTCTCTGGACTTGAACGATGTATCGGTAATTCCGACGATGCGGTTATCCCTCAGACCCCACCATTAGTCCACATGGCCAGTCTAGGTCCTTGGCGACTTTCGCAGATAGTCATCCAGAATAGCGAATAAACGCCGACTTGGAAGTTTATGTTCCAGACACTTGACGTCGTTTCCGGTTTCTCTTTGGTATCCTTAGAGAATCATAACTTCGGGCTGAAAACATGTTGGGTGGCGAAAACCACGCTCTCCAAACCATACGTACTTGGATGCTCAGTACGAGTGATGTAGTTCTGATTCACTTCGCGGCCTAGACAGGGTCGGTTGTAAGTCCAGTCAAATATTGACTTGGATGCTACTCTATATATCTGCAGTGCCTCTGCGCTCCCCGGCGCGGCATGCAGAGCCAACTGCATCCTCCTGGCCGGTTATTCCGAGCTAAGGATCCTTGGTCCACCTTGCATTCGCCGCGCATTGACTGTCTTCTGGAACAATGTTGTGGGCTGACTGCAGGATGCAGCCAAAGCTGTTTCCGTGTTTGGGAGGCGTGGAGTGCCGTCAGGCCCGTATGGTTCTTCTTTCTTCTCACAGCGAGTGACCTTTCTCATCTTCAGCATTTCTCACGTAGTAAGTGCGTCTCCATGGTGGCAACAGTCTCCATTAATACAAAATCGATGAGTTTCCACTTTACCAATCTTTGTACCCACAGTACCCGCGGGTGTCCGTTTCTGCGAGTTTTCCATGTTATTTTCGACCTCTTCAGCTGCTTTCGCGCGGCATGGGTAACATGATTTGGGCATGAATCGTCATCTTGCCCTCTTGGCTTGACTTTTTTTTGCCCCTTTCTCGACGGCCTAAACAATCTGATACGTAGTGACCGTCGAAAGAAATGAAGACGATATTGGATCTCTTAGAGTCGATGGAGCACGAGACTCAAGGATGAAATTGTATGATGAACACGCAACATAGGCTGTACTAGCTCGTCACGAGTCACATTCTGTACCGGGGTTTACGATACCATGTAAGCGAGCTTCAAACGAGCACGAACACTCCAGCGAGCTCAGAGACCGGTGACGGGCATGTCCTGTTACTGTTGTTGATCGTTGATAGATGTGCAACCAGCTTCTGGCTGGAGGACTTTGGCAAGAAATCTTCCCATTGAAGTCAGATCAAAGTTGATGGAGTCAGAATGGAGAGCACGAGCCCAGAGTATGGTAGCCTAAAATCATAAAAGCATGAACCTATATTGGAATTGTCCAGCATGCAATTCAGCATTGTGCCTGCAACACGAAGTTGCCCAATCTTGACCCAATGCGTTGCTTTCTTCCTCATGGCCTGGAACTCTAATACTGACTGCAACGGCTTAGGAGCAATAAACGATCTTTCAACTAGTCGAGCAGTGTTTTCAACATTTTCATGAGTACCTCCTCTCCTTCATCCCACCCGGCTTCTACTTTGTCCCCAAAGTCGGAGCCATAGCGGTTATTCTCGTCCAAAAGAGCAACGGTAGCAAGAGCCTCATATGCCCTGGAGTTCAGCCTGTCCTCAACACCCTTCTCTGTATCTTCTTGCCACATTGCATGTGCTCTGTCCGAGAATCCGTCGAACGGTACATCGACAACTTTCCAACCCGTCAATCCCAATTTGTCGACCATAACAATGAGCTGGTTGGTGGATACGGTGTGGCTGGCAAAGTATGCGGGCCGATTGCGATACTTCTCATGATCGCTCAGGACAGCGACTAATGCCTCGCCATTCAGGGCGTGGCGACTTATGCTGTACTTCTGGTCGCCTGTGCCGTAACGCGTAATTGTACGTTTCTCTCTGTTGATCCAGAATATACCCTTTTCGATAGTCCAATCGTACCATGGACCAGAGATGATGGCCGTCCATGTAAGTTTCCCCTGAGACTCTGCAACAACTCGCTCAAGCACTTGCTGAGCAGTAAGCTTCGGGTTGAAGATGATGATCTCCTTTGCGTTGGGGTGGAACGTGTTGCCGCTAAAGTCAGGTGTGATGATGTGTCTCACCCCTGCAGCGAGGACAGCCTTTAGAATGTGTGTCTGATTAGTTGCTGCAGCGGGGTTGAAGGCTTCGACAACGGCATCATGGTCCTTGAAAGCTGCTGTGAGGGCTGCGACATCGGTGTAGTCGGCTGTTTTGATGCTCACGCCTGGAGGGATTGTGCCTCCGCTCCCAGTACGGGTGATGCATGTCACCTCAAAATCGGCTTGTACTAGAGCGGGTATGAGTGCTTCTCCCAACGCCCCGGTCCCCTAGTTAGAAGAGTCAGCGAGTCCGCCATGATTAATTAGATATCGATACATTATCTTACACCAAGGACTGCAACTTTCTTGATTGGAAGCATGTTGTTTACGGACGTCGCTTTGGATGGCGCTTGAGCATGAGCTCCCAAATCCTCGAGTTGGGCTTATCTCGCTTTTTATAGCAAATCGCCGTAAAATAGCTCATCTAGTTGGGACAAAACTTTGTCGGTGCGCATGCTTATGCTTTCACGACGATGGGCTTTTCATGATAGCGTTATGAGATAGTCACGTGTAAGCAGCGCTTTCGCAGTGTTCTGGTGGCCCCCGTTACCAAATGCTGACGAATATGCGATAGGTTCGTAGAGTAACGTTACAGATATTTTCCACGGAACGCCATCACTAGAGCTGCAGTATATGCAGTAGGATGCGCCTGAGCGTCTCTCAGGGAAGTAGCCATTGGCTATCTCATTGCGTGTATTTTGCGGAACGACTAGTACACTGTTACCTTTTTGGTTTTATAAGCAGAACACAGAGAAAGATCGCGTCAATCAAATGAAGTAAGCTACTACTCCTATGACATAGCTGGTTGAAGCCTTCACATCACTTAGATTCAAGCTGCACGACCCTGACCTGAGTTCAAACACTCATTTCTATGGCTAAGTTCAGGTTCCCTGCATTTCGATCATTTGGTAATTAGATGGCCCAAACAAATATCAAATATAGGGGTCGAAAACACCTCAGCCTTAGAACAACTTTTCGGCAGCCAAGGTGATGACATCCTGCGGGCTCTTGGCGCTGACCCGGTTGCCCTTGATGTCGGCCCGATCCAAAAGTTTTCCGTATAAAGGAGCAAAGCTTTCAGAGGTCGTGATATGGAAGCCATTCCAGTTCTGGTAACCTCCCTCCACTTCAACTTGGACGCGATAGGCGAGGTAGACCTCGTTGAAGCGAACGTTTGTCTTTTCGGTCTCGCGAGCAGCCGCAATAGCGAAGCTGAACAAGGCACCCTGCGTCACTGCTGGGGCCACGCGCTCGCCAATGTAGCCTTGGGATCCAGTGCACACTGTCCAAGTGCTGTTTGCGAAGCCTTGTTCAAGCAAGTAGGGAACGGTAGCGCGATAAGCATCTGCCAATGGACGTGGTCAGTTTTCAATGTTTCCTTGCCTACCATGAACTACAGCTTCTGAGTAATTATCACTCACATATATAGGCTTCGAAGTTCACCTTCAAAGCTTCGCGTAGCGCAGAGGCCTCGAGCTCTAGGATTGGCGTATCCCAGTAGATACCTCCCGCTAGATACTAAGTCAGCCTAGTTCGGAGCACAAAAGAGTCGTCTCGTTCGTCAAGATGCAGCAACACAAGGGATCCACTTACAAGATGCCCACACATGTTGAAAGCCGGGTAGCTTGCCAGCCCGGACTTGATCGACAAGGCTTCGGAGAGAATCCTCTGAAGTAGGGTCTGCTTGCGCAATCGTGATTCCATCACGGGTGCCCGCGTATTTGTATATCTTCTCCGCGTTGTTCTGATCGCGGACGACGGCAATGACTTGACGGTTTGAGCGGAGAGCGGCAATGACAGCCGCCACTCCCATGTTGCCAGAGGCACCAAATACGAGGACTGTCTCAGTCATTTTCGTTATTTAGTTGTTTTTGAGATAAGTGGATGGTGTTGGAAGTGTCAAATATTTGACTAGAAGCCTTTGAAAGTGGCGTAGTAAAGAAGATGTATTTATCTTGGTATACAACATAACTTTTCATCGCTGATATGCTCCTCAATCTTGACCAAATGCCCGGCATGGCTGCGCGCAAACTAGCTTGCATCACCACCTAGCAATTGGTAATCGCATCGCGAAACCGAGGTCACTCGGGCCCGGCCTTCCTAAACACTAAAGATCAAGCCGACTGCGATAACATGCTATGGAGACTTGCGGTCAGGGGAAGGCCATCAGTGGGTTTTGAACTAGACCGTAAAGGGACTAGTGGCAATGGGCTCGCCTGCTCATAACCTTGGATATAGACTGGCTTAACAATCATTCGGCGCGGATCCACACTCCGTCGAGCGGGATTGGTTGCTCCAAGCTTGACTCGGCATCGCAATCATGTTCAGAAAAGGTTTCGGTCTTTTTCATCCATAAAACGTCCGTTGTTCATCCGCGACCGGTATGGTGGCCTTCGGGAGGTCGGACATCGGAAGCGTTGCTCATCAGGGCCGACATCACAGCAGACAGACTGCACGAGTCAAGGTCACTACTCGGACGTCGAATTGCTTTGGGGCTTGGCGAGACAGGGAAACATCGTGGCGTTGAGACAACGCAGAGTAGGCAATCCACCATTTATGGACGGGTGGTGTCCCGCTCCGGTGTCAGCATCGTTATGTCATGTTGTACCGCGTCAATGTTGTGGCACACCCCTCCAATGGCAACCGCTGCAATACATATACGCAAATACTGCCAGCCCCTCTGTCTTCGTGCTCTGGAGGGTGGCGTAAAGGGTCAAACATCAAGGTCCAAGCTATTTCGCCCTGGAGTACATGTCATCACCAAGATCTTCTAATGTCAAGCATACTTTTGAACTAATACATATTGAATCATCTCGTATTGAACCTATGCAAGCACAGCACTTAGCCATTCTGAAATTAACACCTTCCTATAATCTTTAAGAGAATCGAGTTTAAAGTTTTTCATTAAGTATGGTCAAATTACAGATAACTAGCATATCTTTGAAACAACATAGATGAGAAAGATACGAGCAACTACCAGGCTCGTTCTTGTATGCCAAGCTAATTATGCTCTACCTCTACTTTGTCCTCGTCCAAGGGGTGCAATACCTTCTCTGGGTCGCAACCGGCCCTATCCGCACCAATCTTCATGGCCTTGGACAACTCCTTCGCAATCTTAACCGGGCTGCCGCCTGACGTAAAGAACTCGTCAATCTCCTCTAATCTAAAATTGCTAGTTTCGGGGTAGAAGAAGTAAATGACAGGCACAAAAACAAAGTTGGTGACCATGAAGATAAGATACGCCTTCCACTGCAGACGATTGATAATGATTGGGGTGATCATAACGACAAAGAAGTTCCACAACCAGTTGGAGCTGATGCCCACAGCAGTACCATGGTTTCGAGCCTGCAGCGGGAGAATCTCCGGTACAACGACCCATGGGACGCAGTTCAAGCCCATACCGAAAATCAAGTTGTAGCTATGCCTCCCATCAGTTTTTTTTATTAGTTTTTTTAGTTTTCTTTTGGAAAAACTGTCACAAACAGCCACTTACAGAAAGAAGAATGCCACTGATGCTGAAGCACAAACTTGACCGTTTGCAAGCCCGACTCGAGAGAACAGAATCGAGATCATGAGCATGCAGTCGTCAAGCCCGGCACTTCCCCACATCATAATTTTGCGGCGACCCATACGATCTAACGCGAAAGCCGGCAGTATGGAACCAAACATGAACATCATCTGCACGCATTCTCTAATGATCTGGGCCATCTGTGCCGTCAAACCAACGTTCTGCACTAGAACCGAGGGTATGTAGTAGACAACTAGTTTAATTCTACCAATCTGGTTCATGAACTGTGCACCCCATGCCAAAAGAATACGATGGCCGGTCCTCAGGCGGTCAGTCTTGAAGACACTGATCCAAGAGGAAGACTTCTTTTCTGCAACCTCCAGGTCGATGGCGTAGTCTATTGCGTGCACTTCTGTTCGGATGTACTCATCGGTGGGATCTTTGTCAAAAACGTCACAGAGGACCTGAATTGCTTCCTGCTCGCGACCATGCTTGAACAGCCATCGAGGGGACTCAGGAGGAGCGAACACCAAGATGACCACGACGAGAGCGAAGCCGATCTGGAAGGCGAGGGGAAGACGCCAAGCAACTGGGCCACCGATGTATGACATACCAAAGTCGAAACCCGTAACGATACGTCCGTTTAATAGGTTAGGAACAGTGTATGCTGTTGCTTGCACCGTGGCGCCGATTATGACGAGCCCCATGGCGCTCCATCTCGTCTTTCGACGACCAAGGTTCTCGCCAAAAATGAAATTGACTTAAATTTGGAGGTATCAATACCAAGACTGACCTTCTCGGGCGGAGATAAGACCGACTTACAAACACACCCAAAGAGGCATCTTAAGTTGTAGCAGGACACAATGATACCAGTTTCCCACTTGGGTCACAATTGGCTTTAGAGTTAAATGTAGAACTATAGCGATGGGAAACCGATTGCAGTCATCACCCTGATTTGAGACACCGCGGGGTCGACACATATCACTAAAGCCTCGAGATGTGCGATCAGTGGGACTGAGATATATAGTTTAAAAAGGAAGGAGTTTAGTCGTTTGATCAGCTTTGATGTAGATCTCACTGCTGAGCCTCCAGCTTGTAGAGCCCCAGAAGAATGGCAGAAAGCAACGGCCGTGTCAGTGGCCCCGACCAATTCCCCTTTTAGCCCCACAGCGCGGGCCGCCCCGACCGGTCGGCTTTGGACAGTAGTCTGCCTTCGTTAGTCTCAAGTCCGAATGCCAGCAATCAATTCGTACCAATAGTTCTTGGACACAGAAGACAGGTCAAGAATTGATAGGGGAAATCAGGCGATGTTCCATACCAAGGATACTGAGAATCACACATGATCTTTGGTTCTCAGGTAGCTAATGACCTAAAATTTCGATCAGCGTAATTTCAGCGCGTGTTTTTGTAGCTCCCCTAGATACTGCCGTCTCTAGTGTCTCAAATCGACGTCATCTGCCACACCGCTAGACTAGAGTTGGTCGTGGCTTTGTCTAATTCATCCAAATAGCCCAAAGCATGTAGAATCCTCTAACCCAAACCATTACTCCCAAAAAGTCGATGATATTACTTTGCATTGTCGACGACTCGGCAGTTTGAGTTTAACCCCAAGAGACGAGCTGACTGCGCCATCCAAAAGCTGGTATAAATAATCCCTCAGGAATGGACATCTCCAGCGCCCTTCTTCAACTCAAAGACGATCGTCAATTCACCAACATGTGAAAATAGATACAGTATGGTCAAACCCCTTGAAATAGACCTTGATCGTTGCGCTGCGAATTACCTATTCACTAGAGTAGTGAAGCTCGCCGATGGGTAACCCATCAAGACATTCTGGCTATGGATTCATAATCTCAGTAATTATCATTTTGCTGTCTGGGGGTTCTGGATAATACGCATACGTAGGTAGACTGAGCTTTGACTTGTCTCGACCCTGGAAACGTGCTGATGGGGCAAAATTACACACCTAATTTAATTTTGGTTCCTGCTAGCTCACATAATCGTCCAAGACATATCGAAATCCGTCAACGACGATCATTCAGCCCTAGGTTTCCATTTAGCCATCTACGAAATCCTTGTCTCAAACGATGGAACAATTGCCTCAACAAACTTGGCAGAATCACAGGCCAGGCGCTATGTTTTTAATACCTAGAAGATGCACCTCCTAAAAAAAACGCCTGATCCTCCATCCTCAAACACTCATCTCTTTACCTTTACTGTCGGAGCTTCGGCGACTAAATTTCAGGTAATATGGCCAATGCAGCGACTGATGCACCCGAATGGGTGTCCCAAATTCAACTGCCCGGTGCCCAATTTAACAGCAAGCCGAAGTACGAGAAATGCGCTCATCAAACAAGCAAGACCACAAACAACAAGCGAATCATTGTCTGCTGCGATGGAACATGGAACAACTCGTGAGCTCTGAGACCCCTGAGGCAGAATTTTTGTTATTGAAGACTAAGTTACTCTGTCACAGGAACAAGAAGGGAACAATTGCAACAAACGTTGCCCGCCTCTCGGCTGCGATTGCTCACAAATGCTGTACCGGCATGCCGCAAATTGTGTACTACCACCGAGGAGTTGGAACAGCAGAGGATTTCAAGGTTGTACAGTACCTCGGAGGTGTCTTTGGAAAGGGAATCGTTGAAGTGAGCTCTTACTCCTCCACAACGTTGATGATCTGTCCCACAAGCGCTGCTCTAACAACGAAATCTTGGCTAGGACATTAAAGATGTTTACCGCTTTGTCTGCGACAACTACAACCCCGGGGATGAAATTGTCATCCTTGGCTTCTCTCGAGGTGCTTTCACTGCTCGATCGGTCTCGGGACTGATCTGCAATATCGGTCTCCTGAACCGTGTGGGACTGTCACAGTTCGGAGCAATCTTTCATGACTACCAGAACTTTACTAGCTGGAATAGTAACACAAAGTTTAACAAGGAAGAGCACCTTGTGGGCTTCACATTATCCAACTTTGCGCGACTTGAAAAATTCAAGAAAAGAGAAGGACGAAGCGATGCTGAAATGGAAGCAGAGCTTGACCATGAGAAGAACACTTTCTTCCATTCAATGGCGACTTGTAACGACAAAGGTCAAGGAAAGCTTCGCAAAATGGCAAAGACTTATGTAGACATACTTGAAAAGGTAAGAATCCCAGTACTATATTTTTTTCATCCCATTTCATCGGTTCTACGTCTGACCAAGATCTTAGCATGAAATGGTTCTGTTCGAGAAGAACCCGAATTTTCAATATGGCCTGGATATGAAGCGCTATATTCCCGCGGTGATCGAGGTTAATGCAGTTGGTCAGTAAAGTAGCTGAGAGGTTGATTCATGCAGGTTTTATTAGCTAACGAGCTCATGTCACTCTAGGTGTATGGGATACTGTCGGAAGTCTCGGCTGGCCTAAGATGCCCTGGGAGAAAATTCGCAGGGACCGCAGCGCTGATGAGGTATGAAGCCATATTCAAATTTTCGTCACCCAGTCCTTTTCACTGAGAACTTCATTACTGACAATGGTCAGCTTCGTTTCGCAAGTCTCGACGTCCATCCCAAGGTCAAACACGCTTTCCATGCACTTGCGCTGGACGAGTGGAGGACCACTTTCAAACCGACCCTGTGGGGAAAGAAAGACAACGAAAACAAGACCCATCTCCGCCAAGTTTGGTTTCCCGGTAGCCACAGCAATGTTGGTGGAGGGTTCGAAGATCAACAAATTGCAACGATAGCAATGGCCTGTATGTGTATCTCTCTTGGCAGCACAGAGTCCACTGCCATTGAGCCAAAGCTAACCTAAGACAACAAAGGGATGGCGGATCAGCTTACCTCTATAGGCGTTGAATTCAGCACCCCCGAGATGAAACGTCTCTTCTATACGCTTGAACCTGGGGCAAAAGTACGTGAGTGGGCACTGGGACGAATCTCCAACCCTGCAATCACTACGTCCATTCCAGATCGGGCATACAACACTCTCAGGTACCCTTTCCAAAAAATGATGGGCAAAAACACTGTTATTGGTACTCGCACACCAGGTAAATACATGGAAGACGATGGAAAGAGTGGTATCCAGGACCCTGAGGAGTACATTCACCCTTCAGTGCGTATTCGATACCTCTACAACGGATTAGGTCTCGATGACGCAGACGAGTGGGAATGTGCGGCTTTGACAAAGAACGGATACAAGCTCCAGAAAAGCGCGGGACCTCCTCAGCTAGAGGACCCTTACCCAAAGGGCCCCATCGCCTCTACCTATGAAACCTTGAGTGGAAAAGTATCCTCGGTATACGGTGGTCACACAGTGGACACTCAGTCTCACGAAAGCCACACGCTCGTCGTTCACCAGATGCCCTTCGAAGCTGACCTTCATCCTCTTGACCAGCCCCAAAACAACTGGGTCTGGACTCAAGGCACTGGAAATGGAAAGTTGACCCTCCCCGAGGAGCGTATTGGCATGTGGGAGCGTCTGTTCATCAACATAAACCACAAGATGGTTGAGAGACAAAACAGAGAGGCGGTGAAACCGACCCAGTCTCAGAAGCGGACTTTGAGAGAGCGGATCTTCGACAAGTACTATGTCATGAAAGGTGCAGCTGGTAAAAGACTCAGCGGCATTATTGGCAGACTTCTTGGTTCGTCAGCAAAGCTCAAGCCTCTGGACCATCCCCAGAAGTACGGGTACCATGATCTCGTCTCCTGGCAGCGTGGTGACGTGACGAAGGCGCGACAAAGAAACACATGGGAGAGCCAAGAGACCGGGGCTTCATGAATTGTGGCTGCCGTATGTTCTTCGGACTCATTGATTGGGACGAGAAACATAGGAGAATCACCTGGTATGCTCTGAAAGCTCTGTTATCTTGTGCTTCAATATCACTCCTCGTTATCGGTCATCATTTAGTGATGTTAGTCCCCCCCCCTCTTTTTGAGAGGTTTGAACCACCTTAATAATTGATTCATACTTTTTGAGACCCAAGAGCCTGTCTCTAGTGAATCCAAGCAAATTTTATGACGTAGGCGCATACTGAAAACTATAGCCCGAGCTCTTTCAAAGCCGTTTGATTATTTGCATTGGCATTGTTGGCCACCATCACTTTATCCCTGAAGATCTCTTCAATGGGATAACCGTGCTGATCCTCGAACTAGCCGCTTGCGACAATGGAAACGCAATGCCCACCTTGGCGCAGCTGGGATCTCGTGCGATTCCCTCTGACTTCTCCAAATATTTCAGTTGGTAAACACTCTTGAACCATTTCTTGCTGTTAGAACTCTATCACTTGAGAAGACTCAAGCTCCGTGTAAGTGGGTCTTGAGTTGTGTTCAGAGCGTCCAATAAATAAGACGACGACGTCCTCAAGTCTCGAGCGAAAACACAATGGTGAACTGGGCCCCACATCGAGGAAAGAGGAATCTCAGGTGGCAGCAGTATGTATACATTGATTAATTCGAAAAACAAAATTCATTGGACACAAAAAAAATGTTCGACTCTCGTCACTAACTGGGGCCGTACGTCGATGCCCAAGCATCGTAGCCTGGAGACAGCAATAGCTGCTGCATGTGCCGTCGTCGAATACCCACGTTGCCCCCGTCAAAAATAGGAAGAACTATAGCGCTGTTAAGAAGCTCTGCGAAAGGCTGCTTTGTGTCATAGGCGTTCCTGCGACTTCTCGTTAGCTGTTCTGCTCTAGCCAGCATCTGGATGTAAGGCAAGCGACTGTGAGCTTACACTCCAACTGCGCTGATGGCTTCCGTCACAGCCTTGACAGCGGCATCACTGCAATACACCTTAGCTGCTAGCGCCAACTCACGGCGGGCGCTGTAATCGCCAGGCCCATTTTCTAGCGCATGAGCTGCTTTCCACGTTAACGCTCGGCATGCCTCTGTCTGCATCTTGATACTGGAGAGTAGATCAGCAACAGCTTGCCGTTCCAACAGAGGGACCTTGCCTCCCCGGCAGTCCTCTTTGGCGAAGGAGAGAGCAGCGTCAAAAGCGGCGCGCATCAGTCCCACGGCCATAGCACCAACAAGCACTGCACTGCAATCGAAGGAGCCCGATGCAATTGCTGCACCTTCTCCAGGGGGGCACAGAACGTTCTTTTCTGGCACGCGGACATTGGTGTATCGAATATGAGGCCCGGAAGTAGAGGTGTGCCCAGGCGTCGAAACATGGCGCAGAACCTGGAAACTTCCCTCGCCACTGCGCTCCAGGTCCGCACGGGTGACCAAGATGATCATGACACTGTCTTCTGGGTTGGCGTCCGGTTTAGGCGTGGAGGACACATCGCGGCAGACCACACAGGCTAGATCGGCGCCTTTGAAATCCCAACCGGCGCTGTTTGTCGCCCAAATCTTCTCCCCGTTGATGATCCACTCATCCCCATCACGGTAAGCCGTTGTGTTAAGCCCTGGGGCGCCCTTTTCCAGGTAGTTTGCTACTCCACCCGGCTCACTGAACACAAGTGAAGCGAGGGGCGCTCCGTGGCTGTTGAGGAATGGCCCCAGAAACTCGCGATGTTCCGGCTTCTGTGTGAGGTTCAGAGGGGTAAGACCTAAACCAGTCGCAAATATGGTGAGGGAAGCACTCGGTTCGACCGCGTCTATTAAGAACAACTGTCAACATTGCTGAGTTCACTTCATCGTTTCGAAGTGGCTTTGTAATGCGGGATCGCTTTGTGATACCCTAAGCAAGCGTTTTGTTGCGACTTCACTTCAATCCGCCTCCTGGGTCATGCGAGCAGTGATTCAAACGTTGAAAAATTCCTTACAGCATTCTTCGACCATGATGGCAGCCTCAACCAGTGATCCGCTGGTACCACTCAGAGAGGTCGAAATCTGACCCTTGATCATACCACCCTGCACTGCTGCTGTGTAAACTGACTGAGTAGCTTGGAATCGCTTGTGCTGTTCCACATGCACCATGTATTCAGCATGCGCAGGCCGGAGCACATGATGGGCAAATTTAGTAGCAACCTTCCGGACTTGCGCTTCGGTGGGACTGAGGCTGAAATCGATAGGCATGTTGTTTGGGCTTGTCAGCTTATTCGTGTTGCTTGTGAAATATTCAATGAGCGATGTACTAATGATAAGTGCGGCTGGTGTACAAGATGGAGAAGCTGATCGTCGGCTTTCGAGACACTCTAGCTTCTACCTTGTAATTAACAATCTTCTTTCTCGACAGTTGGAGTATTTGTAGACGGACAACGTCTTTATCTGTCGCAGGTTGTCTCCAGTAACATTGATCTCACGTCAGCTTGCTGATTAGTCATGCATAGGGTGGGTAACAATCTTTCTCATGTCAGCTTTGCTAGTCCGAGCTGGGATAATTACGAAGGTTTTCATTCTTATTGAAGTTGTCATTGGATAACTTGGCGTTCTACTTTGCATTCACTTGGTTGGCATCAGAATGATTGAGTCTTGGTACAGTGAAGCCTGCCTGAGTTGGAGCGAGACTTCCCTCCAAGCACGGTTACGACAGGCCAATTAATATGTGAGTTCAGGAGGGGTAGGTGGGGTTAGTTTGAGCGAGCGCTAGCAACCCAAGCGGGCGGTGTCTTGCGGGAACATTAGGTCACCTCGGGTGTCACCGGAAATTCTCTTGCAACAACTGCACTTTTAGGAATCTACCAAGCACTTTTGGACGGCAAGGAATACCAGGGCAGCGTTTTAATTTGTAATTTCTCTTGCTATGGAGGTCTCGCTTGGTCCAATGTCGCCATAGAAGTAGGGTGGCATGACGGTCAGCACTCTGCTGTGGTGCGCAGTAGACTCGTCGGTTTAGGTAGAGACGCTGTCATTCAGATCAAACAGCCTTGTTGGTTCTTCTGCCACATATGAAAGGGTTTTAACCGAGAAAGAAAAATATATTCGTCGACCGTAAGATTCGTTGCCAAAATTCAACTTCGGGCTGATGTAATTTGTAGAGTCGTAGCAACTGTCTTGCCGCACGCCTTAACATTCGACCAAATGACCTCGCTTTTGTTCTGCAAACAAAGCATCAGTTCGTACCTATGAAACTCATCTTCCTATTTTCGGTGGAACATTGACCCCCAGTTGTATAGTTTTTGAAGGCTCAACGTCTCTGCAGCCCTTAAAGGACCTGGAAGTACATCGACATCTGCTTTGTTTCCCATGAGTATTGCCCATTGAATTCGAGATTCAGGGAACAACACATAAGTTTGGCAGGTAATGTACCTGGCATTAAAGCTCTCCCTAGGGGATTTAGGTATTAGCAAGAGCGTTATAGAATATGACTTAGGTAGAAGGTATGCTAACCCTTTCGCCCCAATAGCTAGTCTCATGTAGCGGCTTGTCCCACAGGTGGTGTTCGCTTAGTTGTGCTTAGCATATGCCTGGTAGCCGTCTGGCTTCTCTCGGCAACTAGATTCCGACCCAGTCGCGCAGGCTTCAGCACACATATCACTCCAGTCGCAGTTGCTAAAGCCGTACCAGATCCAATGACCCCCCAGTACTTTTCTGTGCCAATATAATGGCACTCATCGGCGACTATCTCTCCGATCCCATAGTAGCGGTTGCAGACTGTCTCCGTTGCTGTGGCGTTTACTGCGCCGTCAAAGTTACAGCAGTGGCAGTATGTGTAAGCATCACAGGTAAGTGCAACCCTAAAAAGAGTAACAAAATACTAGTGAGCTAGTGGTAGCGAGTTTTGAAAGCTTCATTTTGACTGTAAGACTTATCAAGATGTGAGGATTGAGAAAGAAGCAAGGGAATGGAATTGAATGTGCTTTGGTGACAAAGAATGGCTTAACTTTCAACTCTCCGTATGAGATTTTGTACTAATTAAACCACAAGGTCTGGGCATCACGCCTTTTAACAACATTTCCTAACTGCGTCTTGATACGGTCGGTAACACCGATGTCAGCTGTTGAAGGCTTATATTGAAAAGTCATTTTGATCTGCAAACTCAACCCTTTGGTAGGGTGGCGAGTCAGCTGCTCTACTGATGCAAGTTGAAATATATGCTATATATTACATCGCGCACATATGTATGCGACAACGGATAGTGGGGCTTTGAAGGTCGATGAAGACAACGAAAGAAAAACTGGCTTACTATTAGTAGGCAATTTCAAGACGTGTAGCGTAGCTTTTGGAGTTGCATTGTGTGAAATGTGTCCCATTTACTGCGGCCACGAACTAGAATTCACATTGACTAAAAGGGCGAAAGTAACAGACAGGCTAGGCCCGGAGTTGGCCTTGTCAGGTCTCGGCCAATTGATAGTGCGGCGTCCTAGGTGGCCGGGCGCGCGCGCGTGCAACCTCTTACAAGTCCAACCATGATGTAAAGCTCCCGGCTTGATATCAACGAGCTTTCTTGCAGCATAGCTTGAATGGTTGCGCGCTACGCGCTGACGGCACATATGACTGGTTGCCCAATGTTGAGGTGGGCAATACGGCTGCCCAACCTGGACGAAAGTGGGACAATCTGGGTGAATGTCGGATGCGTGCCTGAAACGGGTTTCGCCAGCCAAATACGCAAAATCCAATAGCGCCTTCATTTGGCAGCTGGCAAAAGGCCTTCAAGCAGACGAGGAGGATTCTCCCAGAGGCACATAGACCATGAATCACTCGATCGGTTCTCTTGTCAGCACTTTCCAGTGAGTCTGTGGGATGGCTCGTTTCCAAAATGCTATTTCAGACATAAACAAATGTGTTGTAATTACAGGCCTGCGGGAGGAAGCGTAAGAAAAAGTCACTATATGGCGATTTCAAACCACCAAGTGGATGGTTTCTTAATCAGAGCTTTGTAGGTGATACTTGACTCCCGAATTCAATAATTAGAAGAAGCTCACCGTCTCTGCGAGTCTGCTCTGTGCACCAATCCCCCCGGCTGCTTGTCTAGTATCTCCCGCGTTCTGCATGGGAAAGAGGTAATGCTATTGGAGCTGCGGGAAGAAAGAGCCGGTCGGAGACTTCAGAACTGGTTGGTTGTGTGTGTTGCCCCAATTTTTTCTCTCTATTTCATCCATGGTCTTAGAAGGCGCGTTCCTGTTGGTAGTGAAGTCTTTCCTGAACATTTCCTTCACCTCGGCTTACATGGCCTGAAGTCCGGGCCTGGGAACTTTGGGCAGTAATATTAGCTCTGGCATCCCAAACACCCCTCAATATGATTTCGTTTCGATTTCCAGGAGCATCTTTGTAAACAGCAAGCCGGTCAGGATCTAACATAGCGGGGTTCCCCTCTAGAGGCAATGTCGAGCAGGAAGAGACATGCTCGAGGACTCTGGCACAAATACTACCGAACCAGAAAGAATGTTATCGATAATGGCCTATCAGGCAAACACGCGTCTGAGTATATTCCTTCCAGTTGATACTTGTAGACGTGATAACGCCCAATTATTGCATTTTCATTATACATACGCGCATTTTCTGCAACACTTGGTACCAGTTCAATTGGAAAACCTAGGTGCATGTTAGCAAAAAGAAGTGGATAATGTGTGCGTATGGACCTTTTTCAACAAATTCCCAAGCTGAAAGCAGTTGCTTGACAAGTGATCGTATCTTATTCCGCATGTTGAATCGGATTCCTAATCTGAAACTATTCGCAAACTGAGAAATGAACTTCAAGCATAACATCATAAAGCAGGCCTTCCCCGTTGCCTTTCGCCAGCCGATAGCTGATGACTCCCAAGTGCAACTCTCCTGAACTCTTGACACAGAGCCAAAAAGTGAGAGGAGTTGTCCGCAGTCTTATAACCGACACATTAATTATGCCAATCCAGACTAGCTTGCTCACAGTACTCAAAGACTAAGACAGACTAAGGCCGTCGTAGGAGTCAACTGCCTTGCTAATAGTCATTGTGAGCTGAGAAGCCTGACCTCGGAGGTCGTCCGCCCTGCTCTGCACGGCGTCGATGAGGCCAAAAGCAACCGTCTGTTTACCAGATTTAGGTTAGCTACTTCTAGATCAACTAAGTTTTGAAGCTGGATCTTGAACCAAACTTACATCAACCACGGATTCAACCTGTCGCAGAACCTGTGCGACGGGCTGGCCAATGAAGGGAACGGTTTGGAACAAACCAGCTTTGCCAATAAGAATGTTGAGAAGTACTTGGTGTACGCGCACAAATTCGCGGAATGCATTGAAAATGTCATCAGATGGGCTTCCCGCAGGAACAGGGGACATTCCCTGCATTGATGCGATGGCAGTGGTTGTGGTCACGACGATATCGGTAAATCCGGCAATGATTGGCTGTATCAATCGGAAGTCTTAGCATCAAATTGCGTAAACTGGGTGCGTTCAAGGGTTGCATAATTTTCTTACCGGGAAGGGACCCTGGCCAATGAGGATCAAAGGACCGCTGACGATGTTGATGCTCTGAGCAGGAGCCTGAAGGGCTTGAGACTTCTGGGTGAGCGTACGGATGTTCTGAACAACCTCTGCAGGCGTGGCCGCAGAGAGGACACTGCTGCTGTAGACAGCTAGAGCAGCGACTGCGTACTTGATCGTAGAGAATTGCATCTTGCCGGTTTCAGGGATTGGGTTGGTTCAGTTGGTAGAAAGTCTGAGGATGACAGTTAATTTGAGTTTGGAAGACTAGAAGAAGGCGGTTGCTGTTGTGAGGATGAAGATGAAGATTCTGGGAGACGAGCTGCTTCTTATACTCGAATTAGGGCATGCAACTCTTGTTCCCATAGTATGAAACTCGACGCAGTGAGTGTTAGGATCCGGTCTTCGATTCTCCCAGCCGAGATCTCGACGCCTTCCCTTCGAAGCTACGTCGGAGGCTTCATGCTAATTCTGACTGCCATATGCCTCAATAAAAATGCCAAGATCCTTGATGAGGAAAGATCAGCGAGCGCTCAGCTTCTTCCGACGACACTGAAGTTGCTTTTACTCGCTAACTATCCGAAAGTAAACATTCCGTTATTCCTGACTAAAAGAACATCCCTCGCCGAAAGAATAGACGTAGTCACGACTGTTGTGTTCGCGAGATATTGAAGATCAGAGACACTTCAATTCCAAGACAACCTATGCCTTAGCTCAAGAATAATGTCTCCCAAATAGGTAATCCCTTAACCTGTCCCTGCCGGAATCTTGGTAGTGGGGAATGCAAGACAAACCCTGCTGATGTCTAACTAATGATCAAATGCCAAGGTCAACATTTTGTACTTAGAGCCTGTACGCTAAGTTCGGGGATCGACAGCAAGATTCCTAAGTAATTTTGAATAATCTACGTTTAAACTCACTAGGGACCTTGAGATGCTGTTTCGGGACAGGGTCCTGTTGTCAGTTGCTTTGCTTTAGTTCTAGTCGGCGGCTTACTAGTGCGGCTAGCAGCTGGAGCAGAGACAGTATGACGACATGAGTAATGGCCCAACCGCACGTTTTGCAGAAGCTGAAGCCGACTGCCAGCTTACAAACTCACACCGTTACAATGACAGCGGCGTTTGACGGAAATCTACCTAGATCCCGTCGGAGCAACCTTCACTAGTGCACGGGACAGGCCGAGTCAAAATAGTCTTACAAATGAACGATCTTTCTCAGATCTACCAAAATTGCTTTCTTTTGAACTCGCCATATGATCTAAGAATCCCATACATCACAACGATACTGAACAGCTCTATGTGCTTGTGCATTCTCTCAACAGCAACGTGTTCATTCTCAGGCTTTGGACTGGTGCCCAAGATACCGTAGTTTCTGAGGGGGTGAGATTTTTACACAGTATTCACCAGCTGAGACACATGCATGTTGTCTTGAAATAGGTTCCCGCTTTGGTTTGCTGTCCTTGACCGGTGGATCGGATGTCTTGGATGAACAGTATCGGATGCGGACATACCCGGACTGCGGGTCTTTGAGAGCGACTTGGCAGAGCCCACGGCCAGGTCGCTGGTGCTGAAGCTGTGTGGGGCAAATAACGATCACTTCGATGATCAGACACATCTCGGTAACGGCGCCTGTTGGAGGTCCTCAGAACGGCTACGATGCGGCTGAGATTTGAGAGTGATTCAATGACGGGAGACCGCATGAGGAATGAGAGATAATTTCTCATAAGACGATTGAGTTTCGTTGGGTCGATCAGAGAAATCAGGTGCTACTAACCTCGAGTGGCTGCAATGAAGTAGTAATGGAACGGTGGGGAAATAGCTGCTGCCAAAAGAGTGGGTAAACCACTAGTATCAAGCCTATGCCCGCAACGGCATTGTTATCTCCGAAAACTAGGACTCAAGGCCTCTTGGAGTAATTTTTCCTAAGGTATTGTGCACTACCACTGTTGCATCGGAGAACATGGGTGAGCTTCAGAAATAATGATACATAGATCTACTATTTCACAAGCCCGCCGCCAACAGATTGACACCAGCACTACTTCCCGACGCGACCAACTAGATTAAGACACGGACTCGGGTCAGGCCATCAGAAGCCAGAGGCGATTTCTCTCCCCTCTCCCTTGTTTAACATTGACCAGGTCTTAGCAACTCATCGTTCTTTAACTAGCGAAAAGTACACGACACGGGAAAGACCACTAGGATTTGCCGTCCCGCCCCGGCTGACCAGATACACAGATTCCTCATGATATTTTTCGTAATGGCCAGTCTCTTCATAGACAGGCTTGATATCGAACACTGTTGCCGTCATGGCGCATACCGTCTTTATTTCAGTCCGGGCCATTTTCTGCCCAGTACAGCTTCTTGGTCCACGTTCAAATGGACGCCACCCGTTGGCCAGGGGCTGCAAAGCATCGCCTTCGTCCTCTTTTAGCCATCGCTCGGGGATAAACTCGTTGGGCTGAGCCCAGTATGGTAGATTGTGACGGATGGCCTAGTGGCTGACGAGGACGTTGCACCCTTCCGTTGGTAACATTAGGTTCGTTCTAGCTTGATGGGAGTCCTTATAGTTCAGTGGTATCGCATCGATCATGAGGTGAAAGTCGAGATTGCTCATTCTTGACGTAGCTCCAGGTGGGTATATTCTTAGAGTTTTCTTGATAGCCGCAGTAGTATAAGGGAGCCAAACTGTCTCGTTCCTCTGAGCAGATTGGCGGAGGCGATTACAGAAGATGTTGGCCATGTTAGCCAGGCTTGGCACTAGAGCTGCGATGTTCGAGACTTGAAACCCGGGGCTTAGGACGTTATGCCATAACTTCCATTCGTCGCCTTCCATGGTGTCTAAATCATAACCTCCAGGGAGAGGCTTGAGGACCATTTGTTGACCTGGTTCTTTTCCAAGTGAATGCCCTTGCGTAAGTTGGCGAGCACCGTCCGGAGACGAAACGATGAGGATGGGCTTAGCAAAAGCACACTGGTCCAAGTAGAACGCCTGGTCAAGATATGGGTATCGTATGCGAATTTCGTGCACAATAACTGCCGATAGCATAAAGTCTGGTGGCAGCTCTCTCAAGATCTCAGAGACGATTTTGAGATGGCCCCGAACAGGATGGTGAGGGGGCATCGGTAGTCCGCCGCGCTGTAGCAATCTAAAAAAGCTTCGTGCTCTGTACAAAGCGAAGACAGCATAGGTGAATGTAAGAACAATTCCAGCAACGATTGTTTGTGACATTTCAGGAGTCCTGCATATTCCCATGTTCATGAAATTTGGTAGTATAAATTTGACAATAATCAGCATACAGATGGGGTTAGATTGAGAATGATGTACGGGTTGGACAAGTGGTGGCATAAAACCGAACTCTTGAGGGGCTTTAAACGTTGGCTTAGAGACCAGTTCACACCAGAAAATGGCGAACGTCACAGTCTTGTGATGCGATTGGGCTGTTCAACCAAGGCATGAGGATTAGGTAATCCGTCCACGAAGGTTCAGCATATCTTGTTGACTCGGGATAGGAGGGGAAAGTGAAGCTCTGCGACAGTAACTAATTGGTGGAACAAGCAGAGAGCTCGTACTTGGGAACTAACCAATCAATCATGCGTTCGGTTCTTTTCAAGTTACCAATTTTAAAGTCGCAGGCTACTGATTTACAACTTTCATAGCTTTAACGTGATATATATGCAAGGTGTGTGGAAAAAGTAATAAAGTATAATCTTAGCTCGCATGGTTGCAAAGATACCTTGGGGCGAAACACACCTCATTTCATCAGTTGACACAGTTGATATTTCTTTGATAAGAGTCTGCTGATCTTTAGTTACAGCTAAGATTGACTTTGAAATATTGCCAGGACTATCAAAAGAAAATGCGGGAATATATCGAAACTCAATATCACGACTCGAACCAAAAACAAAGGAAGGTCCAGGGGCAAACAGCACCATCATCTTGGCTAGGTCCAAATTCAATTAGCCGTCATGTTTCACAATGAGAATTTGTGCCAACTTCTCTCGTTACTTCTAACAGTAAGGTGGGGAGTTGTGTCTGGGCAGACACAAGTGCCAGCAAATATTCAAGATGGTTGCATTAATTTACTTCTGTTGTGCTTGACAGCTCGTCCATCCATGTGTCTTCTTCATCTGGTTCACCAGCTAAGACATGCTCCCCGGCAACGTAATCCATCCATGGTTGAGCGCAGGACTAAGCCCAAGCTCCAAGGCCCTCCAAGAGCCAAGGGGCAGAATTCGTTGGTTCTCAGTCGCCGACCGCAATGTTTGTAACCCTCAACACTAATCATAATCTTGGCCGCTGACGCTGCCGCGCGCGTGCCAAGGTGTGGGGAAATTGCATCCTACCACGCGTTTACTGATGGCTCTGTCGAGCCAAGATATTGGGTGTCTGGTGAAGCAACATACTGAAGCCGGAAAGCCGAGAAACCCCAATCTCAGAGAACCAGAGGCTCTTGGCCCACGACTCGGCCACTCATGGGATCCAATGAAATCACCAAAATTTAGCTGTGAGCGACTTCGTGTGATTGAACGCCTCGAGGGCTTCTGGAAGGTCCTTATCTTGGACAAGACGTCCAAGAAGCTTGGCTGGCATGGTCGCGTGCCCTGGCGCCCAGGGTTGACCAGCTTTTTTCTCATTTAATCTTCTGCTCTGACAACTTTTGCCAACAGATCTCCCTATCGAAATCCTTCAGCTGCTGATTGAAACTAGCTCTCAGTGTCCGTGGCCAGTTCCTTGGGTCGACCTCTAACTTTAATGCGGGCTTGGTATGCACCCTGTCCCTCATATAAGTCTAGACCAACCCCAGCCTGACAGCTTATCTGTCTGATTTTCCATTCCATTTTGATCTTTTCTTGTGAGATTCTTTCTTTTATTGGCAAGCTTTTGAGATGCAATTGCGCACCTCTGCTGCTACATGTCACTGAAGTATTCAACCACAACATAGACGGTTCACAACAGGCCACGGAACATCTTTCATGCTCTTAATCCATTCTGCTACTCTTACTTTGCTCCAGGTTCTGGGTAAAAACAATAATCATGGTTAGCATTGGCAGGAAGATTTACAACCTGCTGGCGCCGTCCGCCGAAAAGGGCGACGATGGCCGTGATGTATGGGGTTCTCGAACATCCTTCATCTTCGCAGCAATGGGGGGTGCCGTTGGTCTCGGCAACCTTCTTCGGTTCCCTTCCATCGTCTTCAATAATCACGGATTACAATTCTTTATCCCTTACCTAATCTCGCTCGCCTGCCTGGCCATCCCGACGCTACTTCTCGAAATCAGTATCGGCCAGGCCTACCGCAGCGGCTGTGTCCTTGCCTGGCACCACGCTCACAAGAGGGCGAAAGGCGTAGGGTTTGGTGTCGTCTACATTGGCTACGCCATCGTCATCTACTACGTTCCCATCATTGCGTGGATCATGACATACTTTCGGCACTCGTTCTCCAACCCTCTGCCATGGACTGGTCGCAATGAGGAGTTTTTCTATGGGACTGTTCTTCAGGATGTTCCGGGTGTTGAGGGAAACTTGACGGCCGATGGCAGCGCTGTTCAAGACTATACTTACTATCCCGGCATGGGGATGGTCACAGAAACGACTTTGTGGAATTTGTTCACCTGGTTTGGTAAGCCGCACAGTGTCAATCAAGGATCTGCCTTCTCCCAGCTGACTTTCCGCTCTACTTTAGTTGTATGGCTTTGCATGTTCAAAGGCATCGGTCTTACGGGGCGTGTGGTCTACTTCACGATGGCCATGCCTCTAATCCTCATGATCGTCCTCATCGGCCGCGGTTGCTCTCTGCCCAACGCTATTGACGGCATTCGTATTTACTGGACCGAGTGGCACAGCGAAAAGCTTGCCTCGGGCACTATTTGGCAGGAAGCGTGTGGCCAAGTGTTTTTTAGTACCGGCATTGGTATGGGGTAAGTTGATTTTAGAGGCTCAACGATCATCTCTAAAAATAAAATAAAAAGAAGAAAAAGAACATAGTTACTGACTGTGCTCGGCCTCTAGATACTACACCAGCTATGCCTCATACAACTCCAAGTATTCCAACGCCGTTCAGGATGCCCTGATCATTTGCATCTCAAACTCTCTCATCGAAATCATTGGCTCCATGTCTGTCTTCGGAGTTGTCGGCTACCTCGGCATGCATCCAGACACCAGCGACAGACTCAATACTTTCGTCGTTGGTTTCTTGACATACCCCGAAGCCATTTCTGAGATGCCCGGCGCCAACTTCTGGGGCGTCCTGTTCTTCGCGACCCTCTTCATTCTGGGCCTCGGTTCTGCATTTGCTCTGCTTGAGACGTTGGTCACCATGGTTTGCGACACTGACTGGGGCAAAAAGTATTCTCGCCCGTGGGTCTCCACTGTCATTGTCATCGCTTCGTGCCTCATATCACTGCCCTTTTGCACTGAATTCGGGTATACCCTTGTTGATGCGGCTGACACCTGGATCAATTATCTGGCGCTGTTCTGGATCGTCTGGTGCGAAGCTGTCTGTGCCACTACACTTTATCGTTACCGCGATGTTGTCGACCAGTGCGGCATTCTGTCTTGGTGCTTGTACAACGTGTTTGGCTACGTCGGAGGTATGTTCATCGGTCTTGTTGTGGCCCATTCGGTCTCTGCTGAGGCCGGCGCCGGTGTTGGCTTCGGCATGTTCGTCGTCGGAACTGTTTCTTCGGTGCTCCTCGCCTCTGACCCAACGGCCTACTGCCCCGACTTTTTCTGCAAAAGTTCCTTCATGAGACGTTTCTGGTATCTAACATCATATTCGGTAAGTGCACAGGCACTCTCCTTTGCAGGGATTTGTACTTGCTCACTAATTGTGCAGGGCAACCAACTGCGTCGCGATCTCAACGCCACGATCTGCGTCAGCGGGCAGTGGAAGATCCCCGCCATATGGGCATTTGTGCTGAAGTACAACACGGCGCCGATTGTCGCCATCATCTTTTCCTTTGCATACCCGAACTTTTACTCTGGAAAGCGCTGGGACCCTCTGCATATCGCCGGTTTTACCTTTATGCACATCGTTCTCGTCAGTTCACTCGTTGGCCTCGTCATGCCACGCTGGTTCAACGTGTTGGTCCCCGAACACAAAAAGACTGAAGGCGACTACCCCGTCATGCCGGGCACGATTTTTTCGAGGGCGAATGCGGCTGGTACGCTAGATATTGACGGGGTGCCACAGACTTCGGCGGACTCTACAATTGAGGCTCGTGCACCGAGCGCAGAGGAGACCTGGACACAAGACAGGAGCTCATCGCAGGAAAAGGTTGCCGACAAGCGCCAGCAAGGCGTATTGTAGCTGTAGCAGTTACCCAGATTCCTCAGAACTTCGAGTGACATGAATGAGATCACATGAACTACCCCTTGCAACATGAAGCGCATGAATGAAGCTGTTTGTCTTTGCACATGTAACACTGCGCAAGTAGTGGCGGATCGTCGATTTGCTGACTGACTTAACAGGAAGGCAATTAACTAACTTACAAGTCCTACTTTAAGGGCTTGGCTGCATAACCACCTTTGCCGTCATACGACTGCTATAGTTGGGATAAAAGGAAGCAGGGTCTGAGCAATGAGACTTTCCCGCCGTCGTGGCTTTTATTTCGCCAACAACCGTGGTGAAACTACCTGGTCCCTCGACAACTGCTGCGATAGGTTGGAAATCAAGAGGTCGGTGGCCAGTCGATACGGGCTCTCCGCAGACGCACCCCTGCAAGCCAAGACCCCAATGCCGAAAGAGGATGGTGGTTTGTACACCGACGGACCGAACGAATGAGCATCAGGGTCTCAAGAAGAGGAGATCTTCGGTGGTGTCACCCGTGATTGACTTCAAAAAGACCTGGAATGGCACCCTCTGTTAGATTTCAATCCTCTTCTCTCCTTCATCACTCAAAAACGCAGTATCCTTGTCTGTTACACGACCATCTAACTCGTGAACTACCACAATGAAGTTTACCAAGCAGCTTTCGGCTATCATCTTTGTGTATGACTCTGTCCATGGCGCTGACCGAGTGTGTCACTAACGGTTCCAGCGCGGCACCAATTGCCGCCCAAACTACGACGGATGTTTACTCGGTGCTCCCAATCGACTTGACGGCTTCGGTCACCCTTCCGGTCGAGACAGACGGCACTGACTCGGGGTGCCCGACCGTGACGGAGGTAGCAGAAAGATGCGCTACCTGCCCGGTACCACAATGCCTTACGGTGTTGACTTTGACGCAGTCCTGCGGCTGCCCTACCCCGGCGCCAACAGAGTACCTCTCACTGCAGTGCCGAGACGTGTGCGGTCGCATCGGTTGCAGCACCAGCTACACCGTCATCCCGGGAGAGGAGTCATGCGACGGTAGTGGAAGTGGAACCGCCACGGTGACGGCCACAGAGGTGGCGTCTACCGACTCGACGACTGTGGCGGCGACACCTACTGAGACGACCGCGACGGGAACTGATCCATCGACAGGCGTGGGTTCCGGTGCTATAACATCAGAGGCTTCCAGTTCCGCGACGCCGAACGCGGCGGGGAGGTTGCGTGTGCCATTCAAGTTTTGGTAGATGTTACCTAGTGCTGTGGGATGCCCCCGGAGGTCAAATGTGCAAAGCAAGGCGTTGGGAAGTCCCACAAAGAGTGCATGGACTGCTCTCTAGCCCAATACCACTACTGTGCACCTGTAACAGAATGTGAAAATCGTGCTGTGCTCAAGTCGCCGCCCAGGCATCCGGCGTCCACGATTCCGGACTAAAGTCCGGCCAGTAAAGCCCCTGAGCACCATCATTGTAAATGGAGGCATCAATAAACTGCAAGTCCAGGATCGGTTGGGCCAGGAGCTCCTGCAGCGAAGGTTCATTGAGTGCCATACCAGCCGTCGTGTTCTGCGTTTGGAAAGGCTGGCCAAGGTTCACGGCATCGGTGAAAGTAGATGTGGGGTAGGGCATCGCCGCAGACGTGTCTCCTTCGGCGGCATAACCTCCTCGACGGGCCTGGGCCGCAGCCATGGTTTTCTTCATGGCGTCAATGTGTTGGCAAAATTCCTCGGCTGCGAAGTTACCATTGTCCTTCAGCTGCGAGAGAAATTGAGCAGCTTCCTCGAACTGCTCCCTGTCGTTGTGGCTTTCTTTTCCATTCAGCAAGCTGGAGGCAGCGAGGATCGTCGCTGCGGAAAAGAGGTACTGTGTATAAAAGTAGTCAAAGGTAGCAAACGAGCCATCAATCCAGCATTCGGTAAGAAGCCGGCACGAATGCCGCGCGCAGCGAATGCACGTCTCGGCCAACGTCATGGCGGTTGCCGGGATTTGAGGCTCAGAGGTGTTTGGTGTCCCCCAAGACGCTACATGTGTACGAAGGACATGAAGTAAAATAGGACGTGTGGTGCTCACAGCACACTAGGACTGGTTAGCCAGTGCTTCGATGGTGGCTTGAGGGTCGTTGACTAACCTGATTGAAGTTGAGGTGCAAAGAGATTGGCTTGGGTGTACGTTCTGAAGTGGGCTTGAAGTCGATGTGGAGCTGGGGCGGAAGTTCCTCAGACCAGGCACGAAGCTCTTTGAGTGCCTCTTGAACTCTATGTGACAATGAGGTTTGCTGTTCTCGTCTTCGGTATATGGATGGAACGACCCGGCCCAAAAGGCGAGCGAGCTTGACGCTAGCAATAGAATAAGAGGCGTCCGCAAAATCGTCTGCAACGCTCTCATCCACTTTCGGGTTGGACGGGAGATCGACTTCGATGTCAATGTCCTGTATGGCCACGGGATGGCTGAGTTTCGCTGCCCACATCCTGTCGAAGATGTATGCCGTCCACCATACCCTGACCCTATGTTCGCGGGCGGCAGCATCCCTGAGCTGTGACTCGGGAACATTGAGATTAAGGCCCATCACAACGGCCAGTCTAGTTGCCGAGCCGGCAAAGGTGTATGCAGTATGTCGTCGATTGAGTGCAAGCGAGTAAAACGACTGTCAAGTGTCAGAAACAATCCGATACGGGTAACGATTGCATTCTTACAAGCAGCAGCCTCAACTCGACGACGTCAATCCTTGGTCTTTCGCTGACAATTCGAAGAATCCTAGTGGCTCGTGCAAAGTAGTCCATGCCCGGGAAGTGCTTCTCCGAGGTGGCCGAACGAGTTGAGTACATAGCCCCGATGGCGAATAGCGCCCAGAGCTTGCTCTTGAGAAGAGAATCACTCTCAGCCGGGTTCTGTAGGGTCTGCTCCAATCCCTCCAGGATTAGACTCTTGCGGACGATGTGGTAGCAACGGCTGACATATCGCAGTGCGACCCCGACCAGCAAGCGCGCCCTCGCCGGGCTGGGCCATGGGCAGTCAATATCGGACAGCGCGAGGAGCCTTTCATCAGTTGCGTAGTTGACCCGCGGGATGTGACTATGCTCGGCCGTCGAGATGGCCTGGCGGAACCTGGTGGCGAACGCAGCGTCCGATGCTTCGCCGATGAGGATCGGGGTATGCGGTATGTTCATCTCGAAGAACCATGGACGTTCATCAAGCGAAGGGGGAGGGATAGCAACGGCACCGTCCGTCGCTTCCCTGACCGGCGCTACTGTGATTTCTGGGAGAAAGGGTTCCGAACGGGCTTGCGTGCCAGCATTGCTGTTGTTTTTCAGCCGTTGGTTTTCAGCAATGAGGTCGTCGATGTATCTGAGCGTGAGTTTATCAGCGACGGGCCCTTGAGGTACTGAGGTGTTTGTAATTTGGATGTACCGTTGGCTGACTTTGACCATGCGGTTCCTTCGAGGATACGTGCATTCTCCGCCCTTGCTTGCCTGACGACAGTTGTCGCAGGGCTGTCCGCCAGAGCATCTCACCTTCCGGGAGTGACATCTGCGACATCTGACGCAGAGAGATGTCAGTGTTAATCACCAGTGACGCTTCGGACAGAGAAAGGGTAAGAGAGACCCACGCAGTTGGTTTGGTCCTCGGACGAGTCGGATTTCCCGAAGACGTCGGAACCGACCTCAATGGGCCCCTGTCCTCTGCACTAGATGCGTCTACTTCGGACGCCATGATAGTCAATCAGGACGCCGGATCGGGGCGCAGGTCTTGGTCACTGAAGGACGATTGCTCGGGGAGATTGTACCAGATGCCGAAAGAGGTGGTAGATATTTGACCGCACCCGCTTGTTTTACAGACCCCTGGGTAGCAGGACATGTACTATGTAGCAAGTCAGACGGACTTACTTCTTACTGTGAAGACATCAGCACCTACTAAGCAGTGGTTCTTTGTTGCCGAGGTGAGACTTTGTGAGCGAGAACCTTCGCCCGGGCGGCAATGATTCGGCATAAATGGTGCATTACGCCGAAAAAATATAGTCAATTCCCCACATTATCGGCATCATGTTTCATTTCGCCGAGGGTGTTGGCCACGATTCAACCCCACAGCGCGCGAGGGGAACTAACCAACTTCCTAAGTCGGCAACTCGACAAGTTGCCGACTTGTCCTTCAAGTAACCAACCACCGATGCCGTATATCAGTCGCATTTCCGTCACGCGGCCGGACCGGTCTCAATCAAGTCGCAATGCATGGCCCACTTAACGAAAGATTTGAGTCATTGGAGAGGATTAGAAAAATGGAAGAATTTTCGCTTGCCGAAAAACGCCTCCGACCGGCGGAGCTCCCGCGTGCTATATACACACGGGAGCGCTCCCGGCTGGGGTCCGATTTGATAATGTCCCAGCACAAAAAACTATACCATCTTCGTTGCTACTGAGTGAGGGCGCTTTCAACATGGGTTCCCCGAGCACCGAAACCCCGGATGACTTGCCCACCACCACAGTCCCCCAATCAAGTTCCGATCCGGTCTCCGGCCCCGTCCGGGCCACCTCCGCCCCCTCCGGCCCGCTGCCATCGACGATGTGGTGATGGAAATGCCGACATGGCGGAAGTGGGTTACGCTCTTCGTTGTCTGCTGGATGGCTCTGCCCGTCACTTTCTCCGGAAGCTCGATACTGTCGGCGACGAACGAAGTCGCTGCCGACTTTGAGACCTCGACGCATGCTATTACCACGGCTAACGCCGGCGTGTTCATTGCCATGGCCATGTCGGCGCTGATTTGGCTGCCGGCTAGCAATATCCTCGGTCGAAGGACGACGTATCTGGTGGCCAACACTCTGCTGACCCTGTGCTCGATTGGTTCGGCATTGTCCAACAACTTTGCCTGTTACACGGCGATCTGGGTTATTGGAGGAACGACGGGCCCGTTCTTCCTCGTTGCGGGACAGACCATCTTGGCCGACATTTTTGATCCTGTGAGTGGGTCTTGGAGTGAGAGTTGGAGTTGGTGAGGTATGGCTAACAGCTTTGACAGACAACACGCGGAACTGCTGTCGGTTTTTTCTTGGGCAGCTGCGTCGCAGCAAACACAATAGGTAAGTAAGGACTCGGGGTCTGGACGTGCATTTTTCTCACAAAGCTCTAGCACCACTGACTGGCGGTGTAATCGTAAACTTCACCAGCTGGCGAGTCATCTACGGTGTCCAGGCTGGGATGGCGTTCCTCGGTCTGATCATGGCCTTCTTTTTTGTCCCAAGAGCCAGCGAGCTGGCCAAGCACCAGATCGTAGAAAAGACTCCTGTACGATCCTTCGGCGAACTTGCACATGCTTTCAACCCGATGGGGGTTCTTCGCCAGTACAGGTACCCCAACGTTCTCGCCGCCGTATGCTACTTTCCTTCTTTTCCCTTTAACTGCGTCGTACCTGGATGCTAATCCCATGTACAGAACTTCGCATGTGGATTGCTGGGCTTCAACCAGTACGGTCTTCTTAGCTCCATCAGACGTGTCATCAACCCGCGTTTCGATCTCACTTCCCCCCTCATCAGCGGTCTGTTCTACCTGGCCCCGGGTGCAGGCTTCTTGATGGGCAGTACCATCGGCGGGAGAGTCTCTGACCACACTGTCAAACGGTACATCCGCAAGCGCAACGGTCTCAGACTTCCGCAAGACAGGTTGAAGAGCAGCTTACCAGCCATTTTCATCGTTTTGCCCGCCGGTACATTGATATTCGGCTGGAGTCTCCAAAAGGAAGTTGGCGGGATGGCTTTACCCATAATTAGCTCCTTCTTCCAGGGTCTTGGGCTGATGTGGTCTTTTAGCGGCCTGAATACATACTCTGCCGGTAAGTCTTCCGCCCTCGGCATATGCCTCCGTTCGCCGTACTGGTCACTGATCACTATACCATCACCACAGAGGCACTGCCTGAACGCAGAACAGCCGTCATCAGCGGCAAGTATGTCATTCAGTACAGCTTTGGCGCTGGCAGTATCGGTGGTCTTGTGCCAATGATCGATGCCATTGGAGTAGGATGGTCTTTTACGATAAGTAAGACATCCACCGCACCTCGATTTTCCCTTCGCGACATTTGCTAACTTTGACGTTCCAGCTGCTATTTCAGGACTTTTGGCTGGCGTCTTGGTGTTGATGATCTCAAAGTTTGCGTCCAGAGCACAGAATTGGGTCGAGAAAAGCAACAGCGATGATTCCGATGAATGATCCCGCACGGTTGGCGTTTTGTTACGAATTGGAAAAGGAGCATTACTAGACGAGCATGGGCATAGCGTTCACTGGCGTTTGGTTTCGAACTGCAGTGCTTTGATCAATTTTCATACCCTGAAGAGGTTTGCTTTCGCCAGTTCTTGCGCACCGCGTTCCAAGAGAGGGCCCTGACTGTCCTCGTTGCCGCACTTAGAGACCTGGGCGGCGCATCGTGGAGTGTAGTCAGAGTTTTGGCGTCCCACTGTACCTTAAGAGAAGTATAATTTACGTGCCACACATCAAGGTCCTCAACAACGAAAAGGCTTAACGTGTGTATGCGGGTACAAGATACTGGCTGCTATATGCCAGGTTTCCAGGTCAATTCTCACCTAGTAACGAAAACGAACGGAATTTTGTGAAGTTTGCACCAACTGACACATTGGGCCAGTGTCTCAAAGGAACGGCGACGCTTTTTTGAGCCTGAGACCCTCGAAAAATTAAAGATTCGGGCCCCCGGCTCTGAAATCAGTCGCATAGATCAGATTGTAAGAGGCCACCGAATCAAGCTCGTCAAGAGAATCTCACTCTACGTCAGCACAGCGCAGTATTACAGCGCAGGATATTATCAGCCACTGGATGACAAAACCATAATGGCCAACAATGCAGTAGCTGCGGAGGCATTGAGAGCTCTGTCAACCGTTCTCTCTCAGTTGGGAAAGGCCGCACCTCTGCACGGTATTGCGCTTGAACTCGGCGCCGGTTCCATTAGCGACAACAATCATTCTTACAAGGTCTTGCATAGGCATTTTCTCCGTCATCGAGCGCGGGCAGACGTCACATTGAATGCTAGAAAGCGTCTCCTTGGAAACCTATTAGACCCCGATTTCCGGACTCGGAGGTTACCGCTGGGCCCAATCGTCAGGCGAGTATCCCTGGATCGGCACTAGTACCGAAGCTTTTCAGGAGAGTCCATAGAGAAGATGGTCTTCAGCATGCCGAGTTTGAAGGTTTTCAAGTACGAGTCGTGGCGTGCAGTCGATCGTGACGAGCACTTCACACGTGTTATGGCCAGCCAAAGAATCCTTGACTGTTTAGAATGATTAGAGAGTGGTAGGGACTTAGTGGAGTAAGTGACTAGGCATGCAAATCGGTATGCCCTGGCCAACGAAGTACGGACGACTTGACATGGCGTCGAGAACGCCAAAAAGGAACCGTGGGGACGAATGCTTTGGCTTATGTCAGCCAACCTTATCTGGACGGACCAGTGAGGCTCACGCCGACCCTGTCGTTGTCGGTGGGATCGACCACGGTCTTCGCCTGAGAGGCTCCCACAGGCTACCAAGGGTAGATGGCGAGCCCGGATGATTTCACAGGTAAGTGACCGTGTCGGCTGGATCCGGCGCCGGTGACACGGAGAACCCTGCGGGAGCGAGGCCGAGAAGCGCTATACTTGGAGCAATCCGAGTCGGGAGGGGGTTGGACGGGGGTGCTTGGCGAGAAAGTTGAGACGACGCATCACACAACGTCCTGCGGCTGTCTTGTGGTGGTGACAAGGATGCGCTGGCTCGTGTTTGAGCGTGGTGAAGACGGCAGAGGCGCGGTTGGATGACGGTCTTGATTCACCGGCTAGAGGTATCGATGGACTGGTAGACGATGATCGACGATGATACGATATCCAGACGAGTGAATACTGCAGAGTACTCGGTAGGTATGCAGAGGAGGAAATGTTCCGGAAAGCGATGCTGCAATACAAACGCCAGCCAACCTCCCCGCTCACACCGACTCTGTACTGTGTACACGATCCAGAAAGAGCGCCGGAGAGTTACCGGTACACTGTACCATAGCAGCGCTTCGAGAGGGAGGCGCAAATAAGAAAAAACGCAGCACGACCTCCTTCCGCCACTGGACAATTTAGTCTCCGTGTCTCACACACACAGAAGGAGCGGCAGTGACGTAGTGGCGCAGGTGCTCTCCTGAGAAGGAGCGTGGGACAATCATGCAGAAGGCGGGGATGATTAGGTACTTGGCCACCTACGGTTGGCGTTTGATTGGCCGCAGCGTCTGAGCTTTGTATTTGTATGGTATTTTATTTTTCACCCCGCTGTGTGCATCAAAGTCAGAGACACTTGACTAGGTACCGTTGCAGGGAGAACTGGTTGCTAAATGTGGTGACCAGCAGCAGTAGCACTAACAGCAGCAGTAGTAGTGGTGGTAGTGGTGGCAGCAACAGCAGCAGTACCGAGTTGTACGCCTCAGCCAAGCCTCAGCAGAGACGAGACACGGGATGGCAAAGGTCAGCAGCAGCGGTGTCCGCTCGTTCCACAAATGTCACCGTCACCGTCCAACGTCGACAGCCGTCCTTCCCCCCCTACCCTTGTCGCCTTTGGCCTGCCTCTCGATCTGCGTCTTCCTGCTGCCATCTGTTGGGCTTATTGGGCACGTAGTCGCCTCTTCCCTGTCGACGTCCCCTTTTTTTCCCTTCCTTTTTCTTGCATGCCCTGCAGCATTTCCCCACCCCTTCGTCCTGGTCTTCCCGAGTGTCTCCATCTGCGTCTCCCTGCTGCGTCTGTCTGCATCTTTGTTCTGCCACCCACTCAAGCCACTCTTGCCCCTCGGGACGGAATCGACGCCTCTGCCACCGCGACACGTCCAGCTTGTTCCCGGCCACCGACTAGGCGAACTACAGAGCGCTGGGGGCCACAGCCGGGACACGAAAGCCACTGGCAGCAGACAGAGCAAAGCAACGCACCGCACCGCACCGCAACGCAACACACCTTAACGGCCCTGCCGTCGCTCGGTCCGTCGCCGTCACCGCATGCATCCACGCCCACGCCCACGCACCTCGACCCGAGAGTGGAATTAAGGAATCTCGAACCCATGTCATGGTGATGCCACATGTTGCGACCCATCCATATCATTTTCTTCCCACTCGTCTGCAACAAGACCGCAACTCCTTCCACCCGCTGATCTGACGTGCGCGACCGACACTTCCTGAGCCTTGCGGATACACGCTCGAGACACACATCCCGGACAATTACTGGGCCACCGCGGGCCTGCAGACATACCCAACGCGACGCTGCACACACCGCAAACTAGTCCGCAACCATCACAACACACCACAACCGGCCGACAAACCAACGGCCCCGGATCATAGTGATTCAACAGGCAGAGATTCTCAACTTCGAAACCGCTTTTCAGCGACACTCTCCTCCTACCACCTACCTGCCGCTGCAAATCCTCCCCCCGTGTTCTGCTGCTAGCGATCGACATCGATCTAGACGTCTTTACCTGCCCAACTCGACCTGCCTACCGAACAGCGGTCCTTTCCGATCAAATATCCCCGACTACGACCGCTGCCCCGACGGTCTATCTGGCGTCGACGATCCCGAGCAAACCATACGAACGGGCCGTCGACGAAACGGCACCGACCGTCGCCATCTCCCTCTTCGACTACCGCCGAAGCATGTGCCAATGGATCCCCCAGATCCCTTGCCGTTGCGTATAACGCGGAGCGCCTCCTCGTCCTCGTCCCTCCACTTCAAGCCTCGCGATCGGAAACTCCATCTGCTGGTCGCCGCCAACGGCCCCCGCGACATATCATGGGCCCAGACACTTGTCGTCCGTCTTTCCAAGAGTTCGGCTATTGAGATGCGCGCCATTGTCGACGACGCCGTCCCCCGCCTCAGCCAGACCGTCATCACCATGCAGAATCGTTCCATGACCCTGCCGCTTGGCCCTTCGCGTGCTGGCTCCGAGGCCGACGTCGACGATATTGAGTTTTACCGCCAGCAGGCCTTTGAGCTGGTCGAGTGGGCCGACCTCCTGGTACTGGCCCCGATCGATGCCGATAACATGGCCAAGATGATGATGGGGATCGCCGACACCTTCCTCCTCGAGGTCCTGAGGGGCTGGGACACCGCCAAGAAGATACTGCTCGTCCCTGGGATGAGCACGCACATGTGGGAGAACCCCGTCACAAAGAGGCAGCTCAACAAGATCAACAGCAAGTGGCCGTGGATCCGAGCCATGCCGCCCATCCTGTGGCACTACGACAGCTCCCACAAGAACCCGAAGCGAATCGTCAACTGGAACGGTTTCAATGACGTGTTGGGCATCATCAAGAACCAGGCCGACCTGCTTGGTCTAGGTCGCGATGTTGACGTCGTCACGCACCTCGGCTACCTCGCGTCGGGCGACCCGCGAGTCTACTCCAACCTGCCGCCCGAGATCTGGACCATCATTCTGGACTACGCCGGCGACTGGGAACTCTCGCAGGCGTTGGGCATTTTCACTAACCTGCCTATGCCGCATCCCTGGAAGCTGCAGCCCAGGGACCCCAACGATCCGCTCAAGGTCTACGAGCACGAGCTGGAGTGGCTTGTTCTCACCTGCGACTCGACGTCCATCTGCAAAAAGCTACTCCAATCCCCGCCCACCTTCCACGAACTCCCGGCTCTTGTTATCAAACTTTTAATCCGCTTCTCTCTTATCGAAGTGCTCGCCTGGATGGAAGCCAACCGACCCGACCTCTTCCAGGCCTTTGACGGTAAAGTCCTTGCGACCAAGGCATCGGCCTACTTTGGGCGGCCCGATGTCCTCGATTATTGGAAGGAGAGTCGGTACTTTCGCGGCCGCCACCAACAGTGCTATGATGCCGAGGCCCTCGACGGCGCGTCCAAAAACGGGTACATCCAGGTTCTCGACTGGTGGTGGCGCCGTTCCGGGCTGCCCCTCCGGTTCACCGAAGCTGCTCTCGAGCAGGCCAGTGGAAAGGGCCACCTCCTGGTGCTCGAATGGTGGCGTGACGCTGCCGCTCAGGATGACACGATCGTCCTGAGACCCGGCAAGTCACTTTTGTGGGCCGCTCAGCATGGCCAAGTGGATGTCATCCGATGGTGGATGGCATCCGGTATCCCTGTGGCCCACGGTGATGGCGTAGCCAAGATTGCCTCGCGATGGGGCCAGGTCGGCGTCCTCGAGCTCTGGCGGAAGCTCAAGGGCGATGACAAGCTTGCTTTTGACGGCGAGGTGCTTGTACAGCCAACGATCCACCAACATATCGGAGTCTTGGAGTGGTGGCGCAAGTTCGCATATGGCGAGCTCGAAGGCATGGAGGGACGCAAGCACCGCGTCGAGTACAGGACGTGCGATATCGAAGAAGCGTTGGAGGACAGCATCGGCGACCAAGAGTCGGTCCGCAGATGGTGGGCCAGCAACGGGCTCAACCTGGGCCTCCGCAACGTCGAGTGGATGAGGCCCAGGTACCTATAGGATTATCATGAAACATTTATGGGGCGCGGGCAGCATTGCTTGGTAGCACTACACAAGGCGCTGGATCACTTTTTTTTTTTTGCATCACAGGCACGAAAAGTTTGGCGTTTGGAGAGATGGCCATTTTGGGCGTTGGGTAGCGTGGCTAAGACATGACATGACAAATCTAAATATAGGTTGAACAATAACTTTCAATCGTACTGGCACGTTCTTCATCATGCGCTTGGTGTTATTGTACTCGTGATAATCCCTGAGCTCCTTCTCGGCTCCGACAACTTCTCCTTAAACGACCAGCGGCGCCGCTGCGAGCAATCCCATCACAAGCACCGCACCCTCCACATTCCTCCCTGCCGAACCCGCACCCGACCGGCCCGTGGTCGTCGGCGCCGCCAACCCCGTCGTCCGAGAGCTGGCAGTAGTAGTACCCGACGTCGCGAAAAAGTCGGTCGTGGTCGAGGTCGACCCTTCGTCGTCCTCCGTCGTCGTCGGCTCAGGCGAATCCTCGAGCGTCGTGGTGGTGGTTGGGAGCGGCGTCGTGGTCAGGAACAGACTGGACGTCGTAGTATCGTCGTCACCGCCGCCGCCGCCGCCGCCGCCGCTCGCGGGGTTCCGGCACTTCCTGTTGGCCGCGCACGTCTGGCCCGTGAAGCAGTAGTACGTGTCGCAACACACCTGGGCGGCCGGCATGCACCCGCTTCCGCACGGCGACTGGCCCGTGCCGCACTGGCCACTCCCCCCGCCGCCGCCGCCGCCGGAGCTGCTGCCCGTGTTGCACTTGCCGTTGCCCGCGCACGTCTCCCCGGTGGTGCAGTAATACGACGAGCAGCACACCTGGCCCGCGGGCATGCACCCGGTCCCGCAGGGCACCTTGCCGGTGTCACATTGGCCGCTGCCGCTGCCGCTGCCGGAGGACTTTGCGCAGAAGCCGTCGGCGGTGCACGTCTCGCCCGCGTCGCAGTAGCCGCCCGAGGCGCAGCACACGCTACCCGTGGGGATGCAGAAGCCGTTGCAGAGCACCTTGCCGGCGGAGCACCCCTGCGGCGCGCCCGTGCAGGTCTTGCCGACGGGGCAGCAGCCGCCCGAGACGCAGTACTTGCCGGACTCGCAGTAGCCGCCGGTGCCGGTGGAGCAGCAGGTGCCCGAGAGGGGGATGCATTTGGCGTCGCACGTCTTCTCGCCGGCGTCGCAGGACGAGGACGCAGCGCCGAAGCTGAGGAGGAGGGAGCCGGCGCCGGGGAGCAGCGGGTCGGGGAGCGCCGCGAAGGGCTTGGCGGCCTCGAGGTTGAGGGGCTTTTGCGGGGTGTCGGCGGCGAGGGTCAGGGTGAGGGGGAGCAGCCCGGTGAGGGCGAGAAGGGTTGAGGTCAACATGGTGGATGTGCTGTAGTGATGAAGGGGTTTGGGTGGGTGTTGATGATGGTGGTTGAGCGTGTGAGCCGTGGAGGCTTGGAGGTGAGGTTGCCAGGCTGCTTGGGTTCGGTGCGCGATTGGTGTGGTATATGTAGTCGAGCAGATAACGGAGATGTATGCCCCTTGCTTTTGGGGCCATCAACATGAACAGGCATATGATAGAGGACTGCGTCGATTCGAGCCCCAAGGACTCGAACCCCGAGTCACTTGACAAAGGCCGCTTCAACGTCTAAAACGCCTCCAGCGTACACAAGTCATTGTTGATGGGCGAGAGCTGAAAACAAGCATCGGACCCCTGCCCTTGTTTCCCATGTCAAAGTCCTGTCTGCCCGGCCGGGGAGGGGCTGGAGATGACAGCGACGTTCGTGGCGTACGGGACCGTCCCTGCGTCGGGGCTAATGCAGGGAAGTCTGGATCTTTGTTATTTCGCGAGGCGCGTGGGCTCTGGCTTGACATATTGGAGAGATACACGTGAGGATCAAAGAAGGCTGGATTGGAACGGTGGTAAGAGAGAGCAGAGCGGCTGAGACTAGAGATGCTGGGTCTGGTTGCGCTTGTGGCCTACCTTGGTGTTCCTTGTCTACACCTTGAGCTTTTGGGATCAGAAGAGGCGTTTTGGTTTCGAGATGGGCGATGTGGCGTGACTATCATCGTTCAGTAGGTGAGCATGAGAGGCTCTTCAGTGCCTCGATACGGGCTGCGATCGGCCGAAAGAGCGGGATTGTTCTGGAGCGATGCAGCCAGGTTTGCCAGAGATGTTCCCCATCGGCAGCATCAACAGCTCAGTTTGCGTACGTGATATGTCAAGCATCGCTGCTGAATTCAAACCTGCCTTAGTCGTGCCCATTCTTCCAGCCCAAGCGAGCACTATAGCCCGTAGACCTCTCGGGTTGGTGTAAGCAAGCTTCATAGCCTAGACAATCGCTAGGCGAACCCGCCAAACGTTCAGTTTCTTATTTCGACTTGATCAAGAAGACACTCGCGCGAGGCCCAGCTGGTTGGCCTGCAATTGCGGGCAAGCAGCGAGGCAGACAGTCCGAAGCAGCCTTGGTCCTTTGATTGATTGTCAGACTAAAGCCCCTAACGGTCACCGGCGCGGTGCGGCTGGCAAAACCAGCGAATGGGGCGATGGTCTCCATGTAAGGCGTTCGCTAGTCTCAGAATGGACCCATGTACGTGGCTTAAGGCTGGCTCTGAGCTGATGGGCGATGCCTACTTGCGTTCCCCCTTAGGGAACAAGGTGAGGCAGACCTGGGAGCCCCAATGCGTGCAATTTTGGTGCCGTATGCAAGAGATGGATCTGCCTTGCCGTTGGCCCAGTTCGAGTCATCTACCCCTCGGTGCGTTGGCATGTGTGGTCCACATTGAGGAGATGCCGGTGTCTTCGCTGACCTCCAGCACAGGATAGGAATCACGCCGTATGACGGGGACGCGACCGGCTCGATGACTTGAATGGTATGCGAGGCAGGCACTCGTGAGTCTTGTTTCCGCAGTACTACGGCGGCGGCGTTGAGGAACGAGGGAGGCTGTGTCTTGGACAAACGGCTTGAATTTGGCGGTGACACTGCCGTATCAGAGGCGGATTGTGTTCAGCTGAAATCGAGGCGGATATGCATAAAAGAAGTGAAGATGGGATGCATGATGGACCCACAGTAGCCGGAGTGGTTAGGTCAGAATCTTTTCTGAGTGAGAAAGTAACCGCGGAAAATAGAGAGACAGTCCCCACTTTTACCGGTTTGAAAAACGCACTTTGTAGACTTTTTGTCGTTGACTACGAAAGCCAACAAACAACAAAGAGCAGAGGCCAGTGCAACACTGGAAGCTCGGCGACGCCAAAGGCAAAAGATTCGACGTTGGCCTGATTCGAACAGACGCTCCCGAAGGAACAAGATTTCTAGTCTTGCGCATTAGACCACTCTGCCACAACGCCGATAAATCAAGGAATCCGCTTCGAGGCGGGGGATGTTTATTTCTGCCCGGAGTTTACCTCATGTTCTGGGACGCATAAACGAGTGCTGGCGGTATAGGACTCCACAAAGCGTCCACAACGATGATTACCTAGACCACCGCCGTTTTACGCTAGAGACTGGTCTGGACCTCGATTGTCCTGTAGGACTTGCAACGTTGTGCTTCAGCCCGGTGAAGCTCATGTTGGGATAGTTCCCAGATTCTCCAACCAAGCCGAGCGTGAACCCTGGAGCCCAGCCCAGATACCGCCGACACCACAATCGGGCAAGGGCCTAACAATAGTGCACTACCATCAAATATAAAGTTCCCTGACGGCTTTCTCGCACAGCCTCGAGGAGCCGTTGCATCGTCAATGCTTTCTTGGCCGAGTCAGGTCATTGCAGACAACGAATGCCAGGTGCCTGGTTGTTAACGCCAAGTTGGTCAATAATCCAGAGTCGTCCCGATTACGCTCGATGCAAAAGACGCGGCAAAATGACACGATGTCGAACCTGCCCTGAACCTCGGGTCGATCGGACGAATAGGTTTGCCTCCTTCGTCAGGGGAGAAGTCCAGCCGATGTAGTAGTTATTTAGAGGTTGGAACTCCAATAACTGACCCCTGTACCTTCTGGCGCTGTTTCTGCTGTCTCTACTCGACTGTCGTAAAACGACCAAGTATCACTTAATAATTAGGTATTTCCAGAAGTGCGAGATCAATCTGCTGGCCCTTAGCTTGTCTAACGTTTGCATATATGGAGTTTTAAAACAAACCATTCTAGTATATACTGAACGGAGATGTGACAAGAGAACAAAGCTCCTGACCGATCTGCTATGCAGGCGACTTCAAGGTCAACTCTCCCGGTCGTAAACTATCAAGTGTTTCTGTTGAAGATGCTGAGCCTCAGATTGCCGCTCAGCTTCCGCCCAAATGGCAATATTCAATTGGTTTAGAAATGCTATTCGGGCCGGTTCGGGCCTGGAAGCTTAGCGATAAGCCTCCTTGCTGATTCTTAGGACGTCACGATATCCTGCACGGCGGTACGATGTGTCTGTCGGCTACTCCGTGTGAACAGGCCAACAGTATTTGTCTTGACAAGGAATCCGGGGCAACTTAGTCCGCTGACAAGAGAGATTCAAAGAATTAACAAACTGGTTGTTTTCCCGCCACGCTATGCGACCGCTGTCTAACTCCGTTAATTTCAGGCCAAGGCAATCTGAAGATAAGAATTATTATGGGATGTTAATGTGGAAAGAGGCAGACTCTTGAGCTGCAACATGCCCCAAATTCACGTCACAAGGAATGGTTTGTCAATGATGCGGGGTTTCCTCCGTCATCACCCTTGTCCCCTGTCTACGGCGATTCGCCAACCAGTCCAATCCCAGACAGCCCGAAACAACTTTCTTGCCTGACAACTTACAATGTAGTGTTTCGCCAAAACCTGCCGTACTCTTTTCCATATTAATAGAAAACCTCAACCTCTTCTCTAATAGTAATCTCTTTGGGACGAACCCAAGGAGCGTCTAGCAAACTCTGACTGTCTGAGCAAGCCTCAAGAGGAGCTAATCTTGGCCATAACGTTGACTCACCCGTGGCTAATCTCGGTTACGACGAGAGAAAGCTGTGGCGCCATACTGCCTCCTTGGCTTGAGGTTGAAATGAGAGGTAGGAAGAAGCCTAAATCTTGAGAAGTTGATAATTAAGGCCCTCGTAGACCGGGCATATGTTAAGTATATGTTGTGTCCTCGGCCATCAACCAGCCATAGGTTCCGTATGAGTACTTTTGCGTAGGCTCACCCACTCTTATAAGTATTCATTTCACATCTAGGCTCACTGAGCAGTTGCCAATCTTGGTCAAGATGGTGGCCTCATTTCCCCACTTATCCCATTTCCTTACTTCCAAGGCCTTCGTTCTTGCCCTTTCTCTTTCTTCATAGTCATCTTCGCCAGCACAACAGATCACACTCTTCGTGGACCAGGCTACTGGCCTCTCGATGGAGCGTTTCTTCGGTGCCGGCACCCAAGTCGCCTTCACACTGGCCCTCCCTGAATCCCCTTGTTCATCCTTCATCGGCCAGCTCTTGTTCCCATTGGTGAATGGAGCAGGGCGGGGAGGGATAGGCCTCACCGGCGACATGGGAGGCAACTTCTCTCTCGCAGCGTTGGCCGACGGCCAGGGCGGCGTCATGGCCACCTTCCGACAAGGGACAAACGGGGACAATTCCAGGAAGTGAAGGGGAACTTTGCCGTACGGCCCATTGTAGATGAATTCTTCATCAACAAGAGTTCTCTCACTTACACGTTCCTCTACGAGAACTGCCTTGAAGCAACGCTAGGATTGGGACCTGACGCTACGGGTGCTGACGCAGTTATGGGTTGGACGTTGTCAAAACAGGCCGGAAGAAATCCAGGAGACTCCGGAGCGAACCTGGAGTTGCACGAGCGAGGATTCGGTCCTTTCACAGCGCGACTTGGGAGTTCGGGGCCTACTGGGTTCGAAGAAGCGGCAGCAACTGTCAGCCAACCAGTTGCTAGTTCCAAAAGGGTGGTTGCTGTAACACAGAATTTGTCTCATGGTGAGGGAAGCGATGATGACGAAGATGAAGAGGGCGGTAGCAGAGAAGAAGGGCGATGGCGGTGGCGATGGCGATGATGACTGAGAGCCACTCCCATGTCCGCATATAAGAAGCGGACGCCTTGTTTCTTACTTGAAGCCACCTATTCTCCTCTGATGCTTGGCAGGGTAATCATAAGACAGGCCCAAGGCAGTAGACTCGTAATAATGTAGCCACATCTGGTCTTACACTTCCGTCCATCTCTTAGAGTTCCCTCCGGGGCCAATTGTCGAGCCACCCTCGTGCGACGGTGCCTGATGAATCCGGACTTCAACGTCAACCTGCTTGTGAATCCCCGAGCCCCCCTACTCATCTCGTACATTTCTATCTCCTCATCTTCCTCCGGTCCGAAACTACACTCGCTGCGGCATTCGGTAATGTCGATGCTGGTCAAGTTTTGGACCTGGGCCTTGTTGCGCGTAGCGCCAGCCCAAACCCCAGGCGTTGGTTTTTTACCACTACTACCACAAGGATTCGATTGGCCGTTGTTAACGTAGCTATGGAGCTTGCTTCGGAACCCAAGCTTTTGTGAGACGAAGCGGACAAGAGGTTGAAGAGCGGGGGAGGAGGCGACCCAGAGACCGACATGTCCCTCCAGATCAATCCAGATGCCAATGATTGTGACGTTAAAAGTCCTACAGGCAGTAAAGAGAAGGTTAGCTAGAACCTAAGGCAAGACTCCCAGCTTCAGTGGTGTCGTGTCCAGTTTCGACTTACGGATCGGTAAGGAACATCATTGTCTTCATCTTCACCAGGCGGATGCACCCGGTGATTATAACGAATATTCCCGTGCTGAATACCAAGATGACCTGGCAGGCCCGTTCGGAAAAGAGCATCTTGGTGTGCACGACCCAAATCGGGAGGCCCATCAATGCAATATCAAGGCTCAGGCCAACAACTGTATGGGTTACCATCATGGTATCATCTGCCTTTGGTGATATGCAATTCAGCCCTGGGGAAAATCGAGGTTTCCAAATGTCTCTGATTACGTCCTGTTAGTTAGTTTTCACAACGTCTGTTCAGATTTGCCAAAAGAAATGCGCCTGTTGGCTTACGTTATCGGACTGCACTCGGTAAGGCGGAAGACGAAGAATCCAGCCATCTGGGCCGCAACGCAAAACCCGGTGATGTAGACGAGCGTCAGGTAGGTCCCTAAGGTCAGTTGTTAGCTTTGAGTTGTGTCCAGGCAGAAGCGTTCACATATACTATCTTGACTCAGCCGGGGCAGAAAGGCGGCGATCGATAACCTCATCATCCCCGTGGCCACAAAGTATATTAAAGTTTGTGTGGTTAAAGCCTAGAGAAGCCGTTAGCTGGATCATTTTGGCCGAGACCCATATCCTCACTTCAAACCATATCGGCAGTAAATCCTCTGGAACGTATTGGATGTGGGCTCCGCTACCATATTGCACAACTACATAGATAGGGGATCAGCCATCCGCAGGACAGGGCAGAGAATTCGACTTACGTCTAATTTCCATGCCGGAGAGTAAGACCACAAGGCCCTTTGGTTTAGTTGTTAGTCTTGAGCTTCAAGATACCTCGTTACTAGGGCGACAAACATATGCCAAGAAGGCTAGCAGATCATCAACGCCCAGGGCTTTGGACATGATCGCCCTGACATACAGTCGGAGACCAACTACCACCGTAGTGCAAGCAATGAGCGCTGTGTTTAGCTTCACCGTCCTGTCGCCCACGAATCCGGGCGAACCCATGAAGTGGACATTGTTGTAGGTACCATTCTCGGCCATAATGTCGGTGTCTGCAACCATAACGAAGCAAAGGAGGAGGTTTGAAGACAGAAGATGGGAAGAAGAGGTACACACATAACCAATGCTGTCACGTGTTGTACAAACAGACTTACTTGGGGGATGATAGGGGGGAGATAGGACCATACAGCTCCGTCTAATGTCTATTCATGGAGCAACTAAGCTCTTCCATCTCATGTCTTGACATTCGGGAACATGCCACTTTGCATATCGCGAAACGGCCAACGACCAATTTATCATCCGATCCTCGATTATGTTTCCATCGTGGAATAGCATGCCGACATGTACTCTTATTCCGAGGAATTCGCTCTTCTACTTTGTTCATGGCGCACTGGCCAATATCCGGAACGAATGGTAGCGCACAGGTAAACCTATCTAGCGATAAACTCAAATTCGTTTCAGTCTCGTCTACCTTCCAATAGATGACTTGTTTTTGTTTGCTGTGTAAAACTCTAAAGATCTGCTGGTCGTAAACCGGCCCGGGCTTAAGACAGCCAGCCATCGGTAGCCCGGGCTCCATATTTGCCCACCCGTTCACGTGGATAACAAGATAACCGGCACGCTTTATTTACTTCCTTCTTAATTGCCAAATCTTAAGAGTTGGGAAGTGTTAAAAGACAATTAGAAGATATTACCAGCATTTTCAGAGTTTTAATTTTCAGCGTTTATGACCTTACGATGAATTAGAACAATCACTGCTTGGCGTGTAAGATGTGACAGAGTACCAGTAGAGCTGTTGCAACAATTTTCTAGGTGTGTCATTGCTTTGGTCACCCGCGCGGCGTTGTAAACTTCGGTGACGGTCCCTACGTGAACAGTACACCACAATAGCAGCACATAGCGGAATGTCGGATGCATTGAGGTTCTGCATGTCCCTATTTACGCCATAATCACACAGTCAAATCAGCAGCTAATTTCCTAGAGAAGTCATCACATTATCACTTTTCACGCTTGATCATTTAATAGTCTGAAAGCAATTACTAAAGACATGCCACTGAGCGATGGCTCCATGCGCAATGACGAAATAGGGTCCCTCCACAGCCATCAGGACGCTACGACCTACACTCAGACACACGTCGAGCGAGATGATCGAGGAACCCTCAATGCCTCCAGAGCTGGTTCCACCGCTTGATAAATTTAATGAGTTGCTGGGTCACCTGATGAAACGTAGGTCGTTCGTACCATAATGGATATTAAGACTTCAACTTCTCGGCCCTGGAGCAGGTTCTGTTTCCTTGAGCAGTGGAGGTAGCAGTGCCCTTCAACACCACAGGTCAATTCTCGATACTTGTACCAGTAGTACGTGTCACAAAAGCCGATAGCCTCATTCACAATGACGATATCGAATGGCGAGGACCCGGCAGCTATCGGATGATGAATAAACAGAATTCCGCAGTGACCTCCGCCGAGGTCCAAAAGCCAGATATTTGACCCGCCTCTTAACAGCGGGGGACTCGTCCCAAGTTTGTCATAGTCCACCAAGGATCCCGGTCTATATTGCCCAAGATGGGGCTGCTCCTGAATTTGGCTCGGGCTCCTTGCTCTGTCAACAGTGCATTAAAGCGCTCGTCGCGTCACGCTTCGTACTCAATCTTTGTGGGCTCGATGGTAGCCATATTTGAATGTAACTTTCTAGAGCCAAAGGTTACCATGCGCAGTGTCGATCGCTTTGCAACAGAAAATGAGAACGTTGTGTCTTACTGGGCAACAAAGGGTTTGGTGAGTCTACCTGATTAGAAACTTCTGGTCTTTAAACAACTTTATATTTGGGCTCGGCGTAAAGCGTATTACATTGGTGACCAAGCAAAAAGTCGTGATGATCGATGACCCAACGGTATGTGTTCTTAAGGAGGCCACCCTTTACTTCTTTGATATGCTTTAGTGAAGAAGCCAAAAATGCATGGAACATACAAAAGTCCGGTTCCGTCAGGTAGATCCACCACTACCTATGCGACCGTCATTCTGGCAAGTTCTCGTCAACGCCTCCCCAGCGATTTGCTACATCCCTGTCAACGTCCTGTCAAGAACACACCCGTCGACTAAACGGCTTTCCGTAATCTCCACTCTAAGTCCTGACATCGAATGCTGACGAATGAGAGAAGAGTGTGACTGCGATTCAATAATATGTAGTACCGAAGCGATACATTAGCCAGTGATGAGTGCCAACACCAGTTCACCAAAAGTCACTTCAGAGAAGGACATACGTCAGGAAGTACGAAACCAATGAAAACTATTGTCCATGGCTGAATTGTATCTTGGCAAAGATCAAAACTTTTGGGTCCACCGCTCGTTTCCAGTACATCATCACAACGTGCATACGGGGCAATGAATCTACGCCCTCGCCAGAAGACAGTTCTCGTAACAGGGGGAAAGAGAACCTGACCCCAATAACGCTTACAGATCGACTAACATAGACACCATCTGTTCCTCGGGCGGTATCGGCCATGCACTTTGTCAGATGTTCCGAAAACAAGGTATCGTTGCAGAAAACTAAACTATCCGTCTCTGGAGGGCCGTTGACATGCATCGGAATTTTATATTATGGCGACGGCTCGCAGAGAAGATGTAATCGCCGAACTAGTTGCTGAGGGGCTTGACGCGCCACAGTTGGACGTGACAAATGAGGAGAGTATAGCTGCCTGTCACAAGCAAGTCCAAGAAAGAACAGGAGGCAGGCCGAATATTGTGGTTAACAACGCGTAAGTATATGCCAAGTGTACCCTTGACTTGGTGTTATTTCGATCTCTATATTAACACATCCTCGCTTAGTGGACGGATTTACATCTCTCCTGCTACTGATTTGTCCATGTCAGATGTCCGCACCACCTTCGAGACAAATGTCTTCGGGATCATGGCCATGGTCAAGGCTCTTGCAGACCATATTATCGCGGCGCGGGGCCTGATCATCAGCATCTTCTCTTGCGCAGCTGTGACGCCATACGTATTCGCATCAGCCTACTGTCTCAGCAAGTGCGCCATCATGAGCTACAGTCGGACACTCCGACAGGAGCTGTGGCCTTTCGGGATTTGCGTCATGGTTACCATGGCGGGCATCGGCAAGTCTAAGATTGCCGAGAAGCCGCAGCCCAGTCTTATGCCAGGCTCGTTATATGAGGAGATGGGCGATCTGTACACGCGATACGTATACCTGAGGCAGGAGGAGGAGGTGACTGATACGGATCTGTTCGCGAAGGAGCTGGTCAATCATGCGCTGAAGTCCGAGGGCAGGCTTTTCGGGCGACCAAACTGATTATGGTGCGGTGGTATGTCGAGGGAAGTGTGGTGGGCATTGAAACTGTTTGGAGAATGGATCATCGATTGGCGAACTTTGGGAATTGTTTGATCTGGCAAAGGTACAGAAGGTAGTCAAGGAAGAGAGAATTGCGAATGGTTCACAGCACAACTGATTGTTATCATACATACGTCATGTCCAGGGACAAGCGGTTTCTGATATGCTGCCGTCATGCTATAAGATCACAGCAAAATTGATTTAAAGAAAAGGGTATCAAGCGTTGTATAGAGAACTGCCTAATGCTGAAGAACACCCCTCTCTACATAACTTATTTCAACGGAAGTGTTGGCTCCACAGGCGGAAATACTCGTACGAGTGGGTAGCAACGATCACGTCAAAGATGGTGATATTGCTGGTTGTTGTCATTGAGAAGTGAAAGGTGAAGCTGAAGGTGGCCGTCAAGAGGATATTGATGGGTGGGCAATCAGATCCTCAATATCTGATTGGCCGACGAAGGAGGTCACCTGACCTATACCACCCTTCAGCCACTTGAGGTTGGGGATATTCCAACAGGAAGACTTCTATATTGACCTTTTCCCCAACGAATTTGATAGTACTCGGAAAGGGCGTCACACAACAATTTCAAGGGGGCAAAATGCGCCCTGTGAAAAGGCTTCATATTGAAGTATTTAGGATATCGGGGGTATCAGGTGCACAGACTACGCACGAAAGATTATTATAGCCCCAGCCAGCTTCTGTTCTCACAGCGTCAATAAAGAACCATTGATAAACTGCACTACCCAGTAGCTGTATTGCAACCGGAATATCTGAGCAAGCTTTGGTTCCCCTAAAAAGAGGAGCTGGTGCAGAGAAACCCGAAGACAGAGAAGCGAACTTCAATGCCATGTTGCGTCTGTTGGTTTCTCCTTGCTGCTGGGGTTTGCTGCTTCCATATTGTCCTGGTTGCCCAACTTGATAGCTGACCCCTCTATTCTGATCCACTCAATCCCAAAGGCGAGGAAAAAAGCCACACCGGCTGAAGCAACAGAGACGAACTTACCAGAGACATGTTAGCGGACATGTAAGCGCCAAAAAAGGTGTGCTTCAAAATTAGTGGACGTGATGCCGAAACGGCAGTGTGACTGGAGCCTGATCCGGATCTGGTAAGTGCAGTGATGGGAAATGGGGGCAAGCGTTTGAACAGGTTAACCTGATTGCATTGCCAGGAGTGAATATTTCGCTGAGGGTGCGATTTTGCTAGTACCTTATAGAGGCATGTGTTGGTGGCGTTGCATCTCTTCGAAGCACAGCGCGGCGTTGGTCGGCTTAGGTCTCATAACGAGAACATAAAGCAAGCCGATAGGCACACGAAACTATAGCCTCATTAAGAATAAGTTTGAACGGCCACATGAACTGTGGCAATACATCCAGACATGAGTGGAGCTCTTATTACTGCGTAAGGCTCCTGGCGATAAACACAGCGTTGATTCCTTCCTTGTGGCGTTTGGAATATATGTTTAGGTAGAACATATTGATTGTGTGTCGCGATGCCCTCACGCGCATCGCGCAGCCTTGTGAGATTTGCGCCGGGCCCGGATTAACTATTAGTCCGGTCCCTTCGTGCAGATCCACCACGTAGGATACGTATTTATTTGTTTTAAACAAAGCAATCCTATACATAGAAATCTAAGCTATTTTCTTTATATCTTTTTTACTTTAAATAATAACTTTATAATAGTTATAAGCTTAGCTTATATTATACCCTTAAACTATTATATTTAAAGTATACTATAAGCTAGAAAATCTCTTTTAAATAAACTATTTTTATTTTTTTAAACTAATATCTTTAATATATTTATTTCTATTAAGGCTATAAGAAAACTTAAGACTTAAAGTAATTAGCCCTTATAGTATATAACTCTTTAGCTTAAAGTAAAATTAAAATATATTTAGGAATTTATTAACTTAAATAGACTTAAATAAATAAAAAAAAATAAACCTAAATATCTTAATAAGATCTTAAATACCTTAAAGATTTTTATTTTTAATAAATTTATTATTAATATAAATCTTAAATAAACTAATAATAAACCCCTTTTAATAATAATTAACTTAAATATTAAAGTTATATACTAAATATATATTTTAAATATTAATATAAAAAAGGCTATTTAAAAATAATAAAAAAAGATATTTAATATAATTAATATATAAATAAAAATATTAATTATTAAATTACTTTTTAAGTTAGCTTAAATAAAAACTTTAATATAAAATTAAATAATATTTTATTTAATACTTAAAATTCTTAAATAATAATATGCTTTAAGTAACTTATTTAATTAAACTATTATTTAAAAAGAATATTTAGTTTTATTAGATTAAATAGCTTTAAGTATTAACTTATTTATTTAATTAATAGAATAATAAAATTCTTACTTTTATATAAAAATCTTAAACCTACTAGAAATCTAAGGTACTTTTACTTTAAGAACCTTTTTAAAAGTAATATTATATAAAATTACTTTATCTTAAATAACTTATAAACTTATAAAAATTATTTAAAATAAAATAATAGACTTTTTAATTAAAAACCTAAATAACTATATAATAATTTTAATTAGCGTTTTATAAAAAGACTTATTAATAGTAAAGTACTATAAGAAAAAGCCTAGTGTTTATATAACCCTAGTAAGTTATCTTATTATATTAACTAAAAATAATATATACTACTTTTTACTAAAGAACTTAAATAAAACATATATTTATAGCTATTTATACTATTAGCCTCTACTTAAATATACTTATATAAAGAAAACCTTTATTAGCTACTTACTTAGACTAGCCTTAATTACTAATAATAATATATAATAAATCTATAATTAAATTAATAACCCTTAAAATATAAACCTCTAAGCTAAACTTACTTAAAAAAAGTAGCTCTAAGTAATCCCTTTATTCTAAAAAAGGGATCTTAAGAGATATAATAACAAGACTAATAATAACAAAGATAATAATAATAAACTTAGTAATAACTTATTATTAAAGGTTATTATATATATTATTAACCTTACTTTACTTTAACTAAACCTAGATAAAGCCACTTAGAAAAAGGAAGTTTATAGTATCTTTACTACTTTATACTTTAGCTTATATATCCTTTTATATAACACTATATTAAATAACTATAAAGCTACCTACCTAGTAAATAACATATCTCTCCTAGAGCTAAGTATAGTCTAAGTAGTTAAAAAAAGTAATTAATAGGTTAACTTAAGTATTACTTTATACCTTATTTATATAAAAGGTAAATATATAATTAAAAAGATTCTTAGAAGTTAAAATAAAATAAACTAAAACCTTACGCTTAAGAATATAGTATATATAAAGAACTTTTATATAAACATTATATTAAAAGCTTTACTTTATATAATAAGTATTTAGTACTTAAAACTAAATTATACTCTCTAATATAAAAAGTATTTAGATAACTTTATAGTTAAATAACTTATATAAAAAATAAATATTACTTTCCTTAAATATAAGCCTCTTTTTAACTACTCTTCTTATATATAAATCCTAGTAAACAACATATCTATAGTTAATATTAACGTAATAAGGCTACTTTACTACAATACTCTTATATAACCTTCACATTACAAAAAGAGTACTTACTTAGACCTTACCTAGCTCTAACACCTATAAAACAACCACCTAGGACCCTAAGCACTTAAGTAATTAGTCTTAAATACTTAAAGGGTAAAGATTAAGGCTTATAAGAGATTAGAATACTCCTATTACTAAATAGCCTACATAAAGAAAATAGTCTTAAAATAAAAATTAAAATAAAAATCATTTTACTTATACTATAAAATTACTTAGAACCTCTTTAATTACCTTAAAAAATATAATAAGAACTTATAGCTTATAATAATTAAAAACAAATATACTAATTAACTCTTTAGATTTCTAAAAGTATTAAAAACCTATAAGAATATATTTAAAGTTTTATATATCTTTAAGTAATAAGTAGTAAAGTAATATAGCTTTACTTTATATAAGATAAGATAAGATATAGACTACTTTATTATAGTAATTAATAGTAATATAAAGTTTTAATAATAAGTAGAAAAAAAAGAAATTAAGGTTAAGACTACCTCTTTATATATAAAAAAGCTAAATAGTAAAGCTAAAAGAGCTAGCTAGGAAGTAATAACTAGAGGTATTAAACTACTTTCTAAAGTAAACCTTTTATATAAACTATAAGTTAAAGCAGTAATAGCTAATATATATTTTTATAATATTAGCCCTCTTTAGTATAACGCTTAGCTTTACTTAATTAAAAAAAAAATAGTTTAAATAATATTTTTATTAATAATAACCTTAATACTAAGTAACCCTTAGCTAAGACTTATATCTATAATAAAAATAGCTTTATATATATAGCTACTAAGTATACCTTATTTAAAGAAACCAAGAGAGAGATATAGAAAGATAATACTTTAAGGTGAAACTAAGGGGCTATATTAAATACTTAGTAAGCTATATTTAGAATACCTATAACCTATACTAAATATAAATCTTTTTACTTTAATAAATCATAATTACATAGAATATAACGTTTAATAAGAGCTAATTCTACAAGAAAAACAACATAAAAGTAATAATCCTAGTTAAAAAAACACAAGTAATTACAAACAACATACAACACCTAAACATAACTTATAACCTAGAATTCTATATTCTAAGTATTATAAAAAAGACTAATATTACTCTAATTCTATAAAAAAAACACCCTTTATAATAGCCCTTACTACCTACTCTTATACTAAGAATAATATTTCTAAACAAAAAGAAATAAAATAACTATAAAGTAAACTATATCTAGTAAAAAGAATAACTATTAATCTTTAAACCCTTACTTAAACCAAAAAACATCTTAAATTAAAAGATTAAAACAACAATAACTATTAAAAATTAAGCTATAATAAACAAAAACATATTAAAATCCAAAGAAG